TTAAATATTTAAATGTATATAAATTTAAAAAAAAGAATTTAAATAAAAGATAAATGGTCATAATAAAATTTTATAATAGAGAAATATATGTGTATATAAAAAAATTATACTTTTTTATCTGAAGAAAAAATTAACAAATAAGAATTAATAATAATTTTATATCTTTTCAAAAACTTCTTTGAACATAAATAAATAATAAAAATAATATTATTTAGATTCAATAAATTATAGTTGTGCTTGTAATGCATATGTTGTATAGGAAAATATTATTTTAAATTAAAATATAAAAAAATTAATATTATCAATAAATAATAAGTTTACGGTAATAATAGGTGATTCTAAAATTTATAAAATATTTACAATATGTTTATTATTTATCATTTACTTTATAATTTAAATATTAATATAATTTTATTAAAAAAATATATGTGTGAAAAATATTTTATACTTATGTCAAATATAAATAATATTTTTAAAAAAAGTCAATTTCATATCAATTATCTAATAATTAAATTTTATTAACCTAATTAAATAATATAAAATACTAAATAAATTTTTCTATTAAAAATACAAACTAAAATAATTTTTTTAGTTCACTTTATTATTAAATATATTTTTATATTAATCTTATATAACTTCACATAAGTAATATAATAATACAAAAATTCAATATATAGTTGTAGAATAAAGTTAAAGCATATATATATATATATACGAGTATGGGACGAGGTGAGTACTTAAATACTCATATCTGCACCCATCCCTATTAAAATTTACAGATTTTTATCCATATCCATACTTGTATCCATGTAACGAATAAATAATTTACTCATGAATAAATTTTGTGGGTGCTTATTGAGTACTTTACCTATTACCATCCTTACGTTATTCCATATAAAATAAAAAAGAGAGAGTCGAATTTGCTTTCACTTCGGCCATTTGCATGTTCATTTAGGTATTTATTATAAGTATTAAAACGTGTTTTTGATTACCAAATATTCAATTACTTTCAAAAGCATTGAATATTTTTGCTTAACACACACACTACCTGTCGCAGCTTTTAAGGCTACCTCTTAGAGGTAGCTAGCTTTTGCGGAATTTTAATTATTAAGCTTAACAAATTATTCGGTTATGTATGTTGGGTTCATTTGTCCCTACTAAGTCCAGCACGATTACAAGTGTGATCGTGAGCTATGATTATGGACATATGGATTGTGGTTCTGATCTCTACAAATGGAAATGCTGCTCTCTTTTTCTTTCAAATTTCTGGCATTTCCTTGTATTATTATTATAAAATTGGAAACTCGTGAAAGCTAGCATTTTATTGCATTAAATGTCTGGGACAGACTCAAAACATGTTATATGTATTCCTTAGATGTGATCGAAGAACAGACAATTAAAGTCAAAGCAACAGATCACTTAATTTCCAATAAAAGAGTTTGCAATACCATTTAACTTCGACAAAATTCCTACACTTTGCCCCAAACTTTATTTTGAGACTCTAAATTGGTACCTCTCGTTTGAGGCACCGTGTAGATCCATTATTAACTTATTAGTATGTAATATAATATTAAATATTTTTATGATTTATATGTGGATTTTTCTATATAATTTTTATTTTACATTTGATACATAGAAAATCTTTGTCTTTATTATTTAAATACTAATATACTTAATGTGTATTTGACTCTTTTTTTTTAAAAACAATTATATATGTTTATGAACTTTTTAAGAGATCTTTTAAAAACGAATCAATTAATTTTCTTAAAATAATTTCATCGACATTCTATTATTCATATATGGTCTTAAAAAAAGTTAAAAATTCTGCATAAATTTACATTTAATATAAAAGTTATAAGAAACAACGTTAACGTGAATTGAAATGGATTAAACGCGAATTCACGCACACTTTAAGTCGTGTTTGGCTTAAGTGGAAACGCAATCCAAAAGAGTGTCAAGTGAGGTTAGTTATGAGTCTTAATCATAAAATTTGATGACAATACAATACAATAACAATATTGTGGGCCATTTACATATAATACGCAGAAAAGGAAAATAAATAAAAAAGAAGAGGCAGCACCTTCTCCTCTCAGTTCCGTTTGGTACGTTTTGTGGCACCAAAAAAGTCATTTACATCAACGATTCAGAGTATTTTTGTTTTTCTCTGAAAAAATTTTTTGAAAAATGTTTTCTAAAAATGAAACAAACTTATATACTCTCAGTCTTGGCTTATCCTATTTTGTTTTCACTTCCATTTTTTTAACCTCAGTGTTTAATTGAAGTTAATTTTAAGGTATACAAAATAATAAATTTTTATTTATTATATTTGAATTACGTTAACATTTTCGTTTTTACTTTTTTTTTGTCTCAATATCAAATATTAATTAAACCATTGACTCTTACAACTAATTTTTTTAACCATAAGTGTTTAGTGTTCATTAATTGTTTTAGCAGGTTTAGAGCTCCCTTTCAACAAAAGTAGCTTTAGAGCTCATTAATGAATAAACAAACGTTTGACAATTAAAGAGTGCGTTTAACTTATTTAAACGCTTGCATAGTTTTTAAATAATAACAGAATATAAATTTAACAATAAAATTTTTAAGATCAAATAGAAGTAATTTAATTTAATAAATTATACATAAATGTTATTAAAATAAAGTGAAAAATTATGATAGTTATATAAATTATTTTTATAAACTACTTACAAATTTAGAGTGTGTTTGGGAACACAAATTTTTATTTATTTAAAAAATTGTATCTGTTTTTTTTATCAATAAGTTAAATGAGTTGTCGGAAGAACAAAAATAAAAGAGGTTGTAACTTTAAAAAATAAGCTTATAAAAAATATTTTTAATATAAGTAAATTTATTTAAAAAATTATTATTATTATTATTTTTATTTTTATTTTAATATTTTTAAATAATTTATACGCACACAAAAATTTTATTCACTTTATCTCTAAAAATTATCATCCATGTTCACTCTCTCCCTTTTTACTTAAACAACTAATTGATACAGCTTTTAAGAAAGTCAAGTATTTAATTATATAGTTATAATAAATAAATAGAATAAATAACACTTGATCCTAATATTACATTATATAATATTGCATATTTTTTAGTTATTAACATATTTTAGCTAATTGTAGCCAGAGTTAGTTTTTATGAAATACCTATAAATCAATCAACAATATGAAAGGTCATTTATAGATCAGTTCTTTAGTAATTAAAATTAAAATAATGGTAAATTTAGTCTCTATATACTTAACACTTTTTTTTTTCTCAATACTTACACTTCATTTTATATAAAAAATTACACTTTAATCCCTACACATAATATTTCACACTAATATCATTATAAAAAATAGTCAAATACAAACTAATTTTATAATTTAACCAAAATATAAATATCAAAACAATTCCGTGATCTAGGGGCTTTTATTCAACGATTTTCACTTTAAAAAATGCATTATTTTCTTCAAATTAGTTCTTTATGAATTGGAAAAAACATGTACCAGGAAGGAATTTAGCAATTAATCAATATTAAAAATTAATTAATTTGGACCGATTAAAATAGATTGATTTAATTTAGTTTTAATTCATGTAAAAAAATTTAAAAATTCAAACCAATCTGAACTAAATACGAACGAATTAGTTTAATTTGGATAATCAAATTGTCCGATTAAATAACTTAAAAAATATATAAGAAAATAAAAATAATGTTAATTTTTTTATTTAAATAATTCTTGAAATATAATTTCAACGTAATTATACAACATTCTAACATAAATATACAAATTCAAAATAAGTTTCAATTTAAAATACACTTTATTATATGTGAAGGTATTTTTTTTCAAAAAAAAAAATTAATACAAGTCAACGAATTAATCAGGCATATCATCAGATTTATAAATTAACTTATAACAACTTATTATCCAAACCAAATTATGTCAGTTTTAATCAGTTTGGATCAGAACAGACCTGTTAAGTATCGATTTAGATCATTTTTTTATTTGAATTTGTTTGGATCATTAGGTTTATTGATTTATCCAATCTAATGAATATTTCTATCTAAACTATACTTAGATAACTAATAATTTTAGTCCTCGTTCAAATGTCAGTTATTTCAAATCTACTAAATGATATTTAAAGATATTTCAGATCTTAGTTATAAAATATAATAAATAAAACTTAATTCAAATTAAATATAATAAAAAAATTGATTACAACATATATTGTAATAATTTTCAACATTGAAAAAACAATAAATAATATGAAACTACTGCATCTATATCTAAGTAAAAGTACAAGTTATATGAATTTACTATGTTAATGGACTAAATGGTCCTTCTATTGAATACATTAAAATGACGAATTAAAGTATAATAAGAATTATAAATTGATTGTATTCAATTATAATATACGAGTACAGCATTAGTTGAATATCACACTACCCGACCGACCCGTGCCTACAATCAAGAATCTGTCATTTTTACGAATATAACCTCTTTTTAAGATATACAAAGAAGATAATTTACTATTTACTTAAGAATCACTTAAGTGTCTTTTTCCAAACAAGGGTACGATGAGAAGAGGAAAAACAAACAAAAAGATGCGCTCAGTCCTAAGATTATTTTCCTTACAGTTCCTTACAAAATTGGGAAATATTCTCATCTTTTATATTTATATTCTTTCCTTCTAAACCATTTAATCAAACTTAAATATAATTTTACAGTGCACGTATTTAATTGGATTAAAATGAATGATCGGTCCAATAGAAGCTTCTGAGTTATTTGATTTTTGAAAAAAGGAAAAGCAGAAGAAAAAGATCTCACTGTCACTGGCGTTTCCTGAACTAAAATTATAATTAATTACAGTGCATTGAGAAACGTACAGATAGAGGTTCTTCACGTGGGTTCCATTCTAAAATTTGACACAGGGAAGGGGTAGGACCCATAACTTTCATGGTATAAGCTGAAAAATAGTTGAGTAGTTTGGTCGTTGGGGTATTAAGTATCAACACCTCTTCACCGGTGAGAATTAAATGCGCCCAATCTTTGGTCCAAATCAAGGGAATTTGCAACCTGCAACCTCCCAAACCTTACCTTATATTTATAATCATGCTTTTCTTCCCTTCCAATATTGGGCCCATGCTATACCTTCTCATCCCCACATTTATTTATCTTATTAACCCATATAGTGTTAGTAACTCCTTGCTTCCCCAACATGCATATATACAGTGATCTATTTCAGCTCCAAAAGGAAACTAAGCATTGAACTTTCAACACTCTCTATTTGCGTGCTATACCGTACCATAGTCCATAGTGGTTTGATTCAGCAACCAGCATGGTGGGTATCTTCTCTTTGGTCACAGGGAGGCCCGGACCAAGTGGGTTTGGATCCTCCTCAACTGCTGAACAAGTCACTCAAGGAATTGATGCTAGCAATCTCACCGCAATTATCACAGGTTACCGTTTTGCAATTATACATTTTATTTTGTTTTTATTGCTACACACGATCTTAATTCGTTGTGTTATTTTAGTAATTATAAATAATTTTCATGGTTTTTGCTACCTTCCATGTCTGGCTTCTTTTAGCCACTTTGTTTTCGGAGTGCCGCTGGAGACACCCGTCTTCACTTTTTTGGTTTTGGGGTACATCGTTTGATTGTGAGTGAAATCGCTGACAACATTTGATTTATGGTGGCAATAGCTGCATTACTCTGTGTTTGTGGACCCTATTGCCCGGCATAATCCCCCAATAGCAGCAGCGCAGAACACACTGCAACCACTATTTTAAATCTTAAAACTATTATATATATAACTCAATTCTTTCTCTTTCTTTTTTCGCTGCACTTTGACGCTGAATGTTTGATGGTGGTTTTTCTTTGGATGAAATTTCCATGACTCTAATCTTTTTCGTCCTTTATGTTGTTTTGATATTTTTTTTATAAGAAACAACTATTATTATTCTTTTATAACAAATAAAACTTGTTTTATATTTTTATTTTTGTCTTATTTGTAGAAATAAGCGACTCACTCATTTATTTTAATATAATAAGTATTTTTAAAATACAATATAAATTTACGATATATAATTATTTTTTTCTTTCTTTCTTTTTTTATAAAAATAACCGAAAAGGGGAACAAGAATCGAAAAATTACAATTAGCAACTATGATTCAGGAAAAGGAAAAACAGCCTACTTGTGCGGCTTGCTTGTCCAATTGTAGCAAAGTTTTAATTGGAACTTGGAAATGTCTTTGGTTTATTCTTTTTTATAACGTTTTCCGGTTAAATCTTGATAAAATCAATTCACGTGAATTTACTATGTTATATTCATGTGTACACCTGGTGAATATGCAAAAGCTATTCTTTAGAGTGCAAGATAAGCATACAACCAAACGCATGCTTAGAAGCTTTAGTGTTTGGGAGAAAAAAAGGGAAGAGATGAGGAATTATTATTCATAAGATTAGCAGAGTTTATAAATTCTCTCTCTCTTTTTTTTTTATCTAAAAACTTTCGAACAGAAGATATCGTATCTTATGTATTCGGAACGTGATTTCAAACATGCATTAAGCCTGTTTGTTTTAACGTCGAAAATTAATTTGCACATTTCTTAACAAATTAAAAATAAAGTGCGTTTATTTAAGTTGAAAATTCGCTAAACATGTATCTAACGCAAAAGTTATAACCTGCAACATTGAAATAAATGTGATTCTTTTACCAGTAAATATGTAACCAAATATACAAGGTAAGATGGATCTGATTTAATTTTGTTTGTGCCAAAATGGGATTACGGGTGCTAGTAATGTGTTGACAAACAGGCCTTTAATGTGAACCCTATACAAAGTTACATTATTTAAAATACGAAATCTGAGGACTTGTTCTAATTTGCTATGAGATTTTTCTTTTATTTTTGTAAATAATTATAAAAATGTCAAATTGTTTTTATTATATTTTATATTTTCAATTATTTATAAAAAGTAATAAAAACTTGATTTCTATTATCTTTATTGTTTTTTGTATAAAATTCTAAAATAAAAAAAACAAGATATTATATTGTAATTATTTATAAATACAAAAGATTTTCCTAAACCTTTGCTAGTAGATATCTTGAATAATTTTCGTAATTATTTATTTAGAGGAGTAAATAGAAGGTGCAGTTCGGAAGTCTGTCTTGTATGACCTATTTCTCTTCCATACTAAATACGAATATTTAGTCTTGCTCTGAATAAATAGTTATTAAGTACTTAGCATTTATCTCAAGTCCAGAACATGCAGGTGGTGTTAATGCAAGAAAAATGATGTAGATAATAGATGTACAATTGAATTTAATTCAGTTTACTAAGTAATAAACATTTTTAGATGAGAATTGGTCCAAACATAAATGCATAAGGATGTAGTTGGATTGAATGTTGAGAATGATGTATATATCATACAATGGGTGTGATCATCAAGTTTTGATTCTGTCATAAAGCATGCATGTTTATCATTATGCTTGAGCTGAAATGAAATGTAGTTGTGTTCTACAAAACACTGGAAAACAAATGCAGGAGGAGCAAGTGGAATTGGGTTGGAAACAGCACGAGTTCTGGCTCTTCGAAAGGCCCATGTCATAATTGCTGCTAGAAACATGGAATCTGCAAAGGAAGCAAAACAACTCATACTACTAGAAAATGAGTCAGCTCGAGTGGACATAATGAAGCTCGACCTTTGCTCAGTGAAATCTGTCAGATCCTTTGTTGACAACTTCCTCGCTCTTGATCTTCCTCTCAACATCTTAATGTGCTTTCTTTAACCCCTTCTCTCTCACATTCTCAAAGGTTCATTTCATTTAAAGGAACCAAGTTTCTTGTCCCCATTTTCTGTTCCCCCCACCCCACATTAAAAGTTACCATGATAGTTAAAAAGTTAACAAGCGAGGAGAGGATCCTTTCATGTGACATGATAGTTTTGTATTTGTCTCTCTTTTTATTAATTTTTATAGGGTCCCATGTATTTAATATTTTATTAAATGAGAGATAGACACAAAACTTACACATGATCTTGTCATGTGAAATTTTAACGTGACATATTTGGTCCCCTTTTTAACCACATGTCACTGATAAATTAATGAACAAGTAATGGTAAATAAAATGGGGACAAGTGATTTGAATCCTGATTAGAGCTGATCATGTTCCAAAGTTCATACTAACGACATTATTGGCCTTTGGTTTCAGAAACAACGCTGGAGTGATGTTCTGCCCTTTTCAGCTGACAGAAGATGGAATCGAAATGCAGTTTGCAACAAATCATCTTGGTAGTGTGTCAGCACTTGTGCATATTATTATTGGGTTACCACTTGTAGTCTAATTGAATATTCTCTCTCTCTCTTTTTTTTTTTCACTTCTCAGGTCATTTCCTCTTAACAAACCTTCTTCTTGACAAGATGAAACAAACTGCAAAAACCACTGGAATTGAGGGCAGGATTATAAATCTGTCATCAATTGCTCACCTCTACACTTACGAAGAGGGGATTCGATTTGATGACATCAATGATGAATTTGGGTATGTGTGCTTTTCTTTGACTTCACTCCCACTCTCACCCTTTGCTTTGAAACACGTATTTTACTGCTTCATGGATGTGATGCACATAGCCATAGCTTTACATTGTTTTTTCCAATATTGTATTTTCAGTTACTCTGACAAGAGGGCTTACGGGCAGTCCAAATTAGCCAACATATTACATGCAAATGAGCTTTCTCGTCGCTTACAGGTGAACTACCATTGCTACTATAACCTTTTTCTAGGGACCCCACAAAAATGTGCAATAAATTATGAGGTAAATCATAATAAAATAATAACTAAATGTATTTGTGAGAGAGAAAATTACTTTTTGTTGTAATGTCTATTACATTTTACGTTTTGTTTTGATCGTTACCTCTGACAAAAGAACTTATATTGTGCATGTTTAACAAGAGGCGTTCGTCTAAATTATCCAGAGTAAATAACTCTATTTAGATGTACTGATAAAGTTTGTAAATTGCATTAGTCTACTAAGATAAGATTATTTACTCTATAGAATAACTTAAACTAATCCAGTGAGAGAGAATGTTACCACCTTTGGTATTTATTGAGCAATTATTGATTTACTTTTGGTACCTTACGTTGTACACAGGAAGAGGGTGTTAACATCACAGCCAACTCTGTCCACCCAGGGGTGATAATGACTCCTCTTATGAGACACTCTGCTTTACTTATGAGTACGTCAATTGTCCTAAAACACGTACAAATTAATATAATACTAGCAAAACAAAAAAAAAAACATTAAATTGTTCTTTTCGTTACTTATTTGTCTAAGACAATTATATAATTTCAATTAAGCAGATTTTCTGAAGATTTTCTCCTTCTTCATATGGAAGAACGTCCCACAGGTATATTCTGTTTTTAATTCTTCCTTCTAGCTAGGATTTCAATAGAGGTGCAAAAATGTTGCATTTGGGAGTGCTAAAAAATTCAATTTCTATTTGTGAAGGGTGCAGCCACAACATGCTATGTTGCTCTACACCCAAGCTTGAAAGGTGTAACCGGGAAGTATTTTCTGGATTGTAACGAGTTTCCACCAAGTGCCCCTGCATCAAACGAACTTTTGGGAAGGAAACTCTGGGATTTTAGCAACAAGTTGATCAAATCAATTTCAAAAGCCTGATTGCACATGTTGCTCCGGTGTTTTCTTTTTAGGACACAACCTCATCTTGGTGTATCAAATTCCAAACTCGTCATGCTTAATATACCTGCTACCATTATATTCTTAAGTTCTATATATATATATATAAGGATATTTCCTACACATATGATTCGTAGTTATCCCCGACTCCATTTGTATTTTGTATGCGTTATATAGAGGTCTTTTTTATGTATAAAAAATTTTCTTTTACTGATAAGAAGCAAGGTATTAAGGGAAAAAAAAGAATCAAGACTGCAAAGCAAGCTGTTGTAAGCAAAGTTTATTTAATTATATTATTATATTAATGTTTTTATTTTACTTAACAACGATATGTTAAAAATTAAATCACAAAAGTAATTGATCTTTCATATTTTAAAAATTATAAATAATTTAAAATAAGGGTTTTATTAATTAATGTCCTTAAGGAATTGTTTAAGAAATTAGCAAATGAAAAAATTTTATCCGAAGAAAAATGCTCCCATCACATGCTTTTGAATTTGAACCCTTTTCAACGTTTTTTTTTGTGATTAATTAGTTTAAAAAATAATAATCCCAAGGAGTATTTTAAAATAATATTATTAGCATTCTTTTCATTTGAAATCAGGTTAAGAATACATTAAAAATAAGATACATTAACAATTAATGCCAAGAGACCTCAAGTGTTAAAATATATATTGATACTATTATGTTTATAAATAACAATTGTTTTGTAAAATAGATAACAATAACTTTGGATAAATTTGATTCCACAAAGAATAGAAGTTAGATGCATCTCTAAGGTTGTTTATTCGCGCTCCCACAAGCCCACGGCTCTTACAACGCAAGCAGAAGCAGCTACAATGAGTGCTGCAAAGACTGGTGGAACAATGGTATCAATGTGGGACTTAGTGAAAAGGTGAGGAGGGAAACACAGGGTATCTCCTGGAACATCCAAGGGAACTCTAACACTCTTACTTTTGCACTTCTCAGAGAATGAAGAAGAGGGGGATATGGCAGAGACAAAAGCCACCTCGGGGGAGAACGAGGCCACTGCCACAGTCAGCGTCAACGCCGTAACCCAAGTGGCAGCATAGATTAGTAGAGGCCACGTGCTCATCACGTACAAACGGATGATATTAAAGACCCACAAAGACATTGTGGGGAAGTACTGGGTCTCTAAGATGAAATCATTCATGTTTTGGGTTGCAAACTTGTTTATATAGATTATAGACGCAACACAAGTCCCTAGAAATAAATGATAATATGATATATGAGAATGGTGGACTTTTTTTAATGTTTTAATGCATGGACGTGTTATATGTTTCTAACGTGGTAAATAAAAGAGATGCTTCGAGCATGTGGAAGTGGAGCAAAACAACCTAATAAAAATTCAAAACTACTTGTTGAGGTTTGAGGTTGTTGGAGTTTTGGTGGGGGTTGAGGAGCGAATGAGGTAGGTTGTGTTGAATTGTGGGTTGTTGTGTTGTGCTGACTAAGTTTTGTTGTGAGGCGTAGAATTTTATGGGCATGCTTTGTGGGTTCGGTTTAGCTTTGGCTGGAACTGGAGAGCGACTCCACGACATTAATTCTTACCCGTCTTTATGGAAGGAAGCACGGTGGTTGGGCGTAATTGTAACTGCCATTTTGTCGCACAAAGCTCAAAATAGAATAATAAGCGTGCATGAGGAAATTCACTCCCTCTTGTAGGAGTATAATGCAATGCATGGTGATTTCTTTCATGCAGTTCCAGTAACATTAAGTTTATTAGCTGTTAGTTTTGAAGCACATAACATATCAAATTCATTATATAATATAACATCACGCTATTATATAACAATATAGTTTTATTTTACATTAAGTGTTCAAATCAAATTCAAACTAATAATATCATTTGGGTTTTTAGTCTATGTACAAGAGTAGATATACCAAATAATCAACAAATGCGTTAGCAGTAAATGGCAGTCAACAACTGTATCCGCTGTTACGCTAGTTGATGTCATCGTGAACTGCATCCCTAAGCATTTTTCAATGTCTCAAATAATTTGCAGGGGTGAAATATCCAATCCAATGGTGTAAACGATCCTCAATGAGAAATAGTCTTCAGTAATTGCCTATCATAAATTTTCGATTACCACATTCAATCCACCCCGATCGTACAATAGAAAAATTAGTTGGCATATTGTTGCTTGAACACGGCTCCATGACCATTATGTTGCTAACATATTGAATAATTAGGCATAAAAAACAATGCTTGAACTAATGAAATAAGCAGAGTGCACTGAAAACTTGACTACAAAGTTATAGAGGAATCAGCACATTATGGTTCAGGAGTACAAATGATCAACAACCGTGGTGTAGATTTCTGAAAGATGACCATGTTGAAGATGACCTAAAACCCCCCAACAAAGCCAAATGTAGGTCTATGATTATCACTGCACCACCGGTCACCATCCTGCCTACTGATGCCATTGGTCCATGGATCAGTTTCTGAAGGAGGAACATGGCTTGTGCCTGTAGCTATCTCAAACTGGAACTAGGGGGACGATACAGCTGGAGCAGGAGTGGCAGATCCGTACTCTATTGAACATGCAGGAGGCTCAGAAGGCCTAAGAGCTGCTTCAGTGGATCCACTCAACAATGCTTCTCTCCTTTGCCTTTTGAAGTCGCAAACGCCAAGATTTGGTAAACACAAGTTAGAAGATTAACTATTTGATTTTGCACAAATTATTTTTGACTGTGATTCTACCATAGTGCACCCAAGTGCGCACATTGATGCAATAAACATTTCATAATGAAGTGTTAACTTCTAAAAAAGATGGCATACCATAACAAAATCATGATTCAATTTGGTCAAATTGAAGAACAGCTTGTTTATCAACATCCTGCAGTGCTAATAAGAGATGGAGAAATTAAAAATAGTTGACTAAATTTGCCTGAACAGAAAAAAAAAAAGTTTCCTTTCATGTAATTTTTGCTGTCTCCCTTTCAATTTCCTCATCTCCATGTCCTAGAGATTTGATGAGTTTAACTCATGTAATAAATTGCATGTTTATGACACTTTTCATTGAATAAATAATCTAAGTCAATGTGATTAATTAGAAAATTTAATGGAAAGATGTTATTACTTGAGATGCAATGGATTGTTTAAGTATTAATATTTTGTAGTAGATTTTTGAAGAGTTCAGAAGATAATTTACAATTGGATCTAGAATTTTAAGTTTTTGTGGACACATTCATAACTTATTATAGAGACACGAGCTTAACAAAGTATATAAAAACATAATTTTTTGTTAAAGACAAAATCTTTTATTACATTTTTCATATACAAAATTTTAAGTTTTTCATATATCTTCACGTATAAATGTCTTTCATTCCATTTTCTTCTTTTGTTCTTTATGAGATTTTGATGAGAAGTAAGGCTACATCCCTCCATTCCCTTTATTCTTAAATGGAACAATAATTTTCTACAATTTCATTTTCCTATAATTTGCTTTCAAGTTAAACATGGAGTTTATTTCTGAAATATATTTTAGTTTTTTCTCTTTTATTTCTGCAATGTCCTGCTGATCTCATTGGGATTGAGGATGGATAAACTTGATTCTTAACTCATTGAGATAATCTGAATGTAAGTTATAACTTTGAATCATTCTTAAAAATGGATTAAGTAGCTCATTATGGGTTGCCTAGGAATAAGAATCTTTACTGGTGTGGCCATTCTGATTTCTAAATTTAATGTTGAACTTCTCTTGATTTACTAAGGGATTAGGAACTAAGAGTTGGTTTAGAACCATTTGATCAAGGAATTGACAGTGAGTACTATAAAAAATCTGACCATTGGAATAGTTATATTCTGAATTATACATAATTTTTGCAATGAGAAAGAATTAAGGAATCCTAACTCAACTCGCTTTTATATCAATTGTTAACTTATTTACTGAACTCATATCAATTTCTATTCTGCAATTTAATTGTTAATTTGTTTAGTTCTTGCACTCAGTCCTATTTCCACGTTAAAGTAATTCAACAGAGTTGAGTTAATTTCAATTTCTGCACAATATCTAATTTTTTGCATTGAACTCTTAAGTTGTTTATCACCCAACTAGCAATATTTTTGTGGGTTGGTAATTAATATTAATCCCAATAGACGATAAATTTTAATTGTTACAAACGATTTGGTACACTTGCTAATCTGTTTATCAAGATTCATTGCTCTCTTTTCCTTATCAGTCTGTTATGTTCTGCCTGACAATGATCAACAACTCTCTGTTTATATAGCTCCTGCACAAACAATCATGTCATAAAAATATTGGTTGAAGATAATTGATAAGAAAATGAAAATGTGGGACTGAGGTTGGGAAGAAAACAGCGCAAGCAATTGATTTTGAAAGGATCATTTGTCACTAGAATTAAAAGGTATACAAATTTTATAAAAAAATAACAAAGCAGCACTTGATAGTCTAAAAGGATAGCCACAACATATATCTTGTCCAAAAGTTCCACAAACTCTAAACCCTAAAGCAGAAAAAACAATTTGCCTATGATGCATCAACCTCACAAATCCATAAAACGAGCCAAAGATAGTGTTATTAATACTAACTTTGCTGCCACCATTCCAACCACCTCTCCTCCTTTAGATCACATCTTTGTGTAGTTTGCTAAGATCAAACTCTTGCTACATCAAACCATCAAAAGTGAACGTTTTGGTGCAACATGAAACAAGAAATGTGTAGCAATCCAAAATATTTGCAAGAGAAAATTATGTATATTAAACAAGCATGCATGCTACACTAACGAATGAGAATCTAAATAACTAACATACCTGTTGCTCACACTTGTGAAGAATCCTTTCTTCCACTAGGCATTGTTGATATGCAGCCTCTTCAATCAGGGGAGCAGCCCATTGATATGTAGTTTCTTTTTCATTTCGTGTCTTACGTTCAAAGTCAATTCATCAAGGTTTGCTTGGTAAGTTTCTCCTGCAGATAGGGTTCATTGTCAACACTTGCCTACCAGTTAAATATGGAATTTAATTGACAACAAAGTTCAACTTACCTCCTCTATGATATTCCTGTTTTCCTTTTTTTTAGTAAGCTTTTATGCTTCCTCAACCAAAGCTTTAGTTTCTCCCATTTTCCTTTCTTTTATCTCCCTGAGGATCCTCTAATTCAATTTATGTCACTCTAAATGAGCATTTTAAGAACTTCGCATAAAGTTTATGTTACTGTAATATTATCAAAACCACCTCCAAGTGATATAAGTAGTCTGTCCAACAAGAGTTGTATACTAAAATATCATAAAAAAATACAAGGACAAACTTTTTTAACAACCCTTTAAAAATTGTATTCATTAAACTTTGAAGAGTAACAGGGACATTAGTAAGTCCAAAAGGCATAACAAGCTATTCATAGTGACCATGATGGGTTTTAAAAGCAGTTTTATATTTATCCTTAGGATTTAATAAAATTTGATGGTACCCGGATCTAAGGTCCAATTTAGAAAAAAAGGTGGCTCCATACAATTCATCAATCAACTTATCTACAGTAGGTATAGGAAAAGTGTCTTTGATTGTGATGGCATTCAGTGCCCTATAATCCATGCAAACCCTCCAAGATCCATCCTTCTTCTTGACAAGGATTATTGGTGAAGAAAAAAGGCTTCTACTTGGCTGAATTATACCTTATTCCAACATTCCATGCACCAATTTCTCAATTTCCTCTTTTTGGCTATGAGGATACGCTTGACTTTTATTGGTCTAGACCCGTCCATAAATGGAATAGAATGGTCATGAGTCCTAGCAGGTGGCAAGGCTGTAGGTGAGCTAAAAACAGAGCCATATGCATGCAGTAACATTGTCAATTCAAATTTCATATCAGCAGGTAGTTCCAACAAGGGCATTTGAGGAGAATTATGTTCCACCAATTGCATACTAAAAACTTCAGCTATAGAATTTGTACGAATCATCCTTCTAGTATGATGAAGATGTGCCTGAATAGGTAATTGATCTAAATCACCTTGTAATGTAGTAAACTTTCCTTGATGTAAGAATTTTAATTATAAAGATGCATAATCTGCTATATGTGGACCAATAGTTTTCAACTAGCTTGCACCTAAAATCAAATCAGCACCAGACACCGGTAATAAGAAAGTAGAGAGATTGAAAGTACTTCCTTGCACTTGAATTGAAAGATCCTTGACCATAACTTCAACAACCATGTAATTACTATTTCTTACCATAACCCTAAAAGTTGGTGCAGGTTCCACCATCATTTTAAAAAATTTAGCTATCCTAGGCTGTAAGAAATTATTAGCACTTCCCCCATCTACTAACACTTTAAAAAGAAACTTATCAATCATAGCCTCAAAACATATAGTACCAACTTCTAACTCACCTTTAAATGCATTTAAAGACAAATGATGACCATTTGAAACTACTTCCACACCAACCTGCAGCAAATCACTATTTTAACTGTTAACTATCACTTCATTTTCAATTTTATCCTCCTCCATTTGCAAAAACAATTACTGCCTATTGGGACATTTGTGATTGAAGGTGAACTTTTCATCACAAAATTAGCAAAATCCTTTTTCCCTTCTCAACTGTACTCAACAAGAGATATCTTTTTTACATTCACATTTCTCATAGGTGTGATTGAAGGTGTAGGTAACAATGGAGGTAAAGTAGCATTAGTTTGAACTTGTCTAGTATTAGAAGTACCACTGTTGGTAGATGATATTGGTGAATATTTATGAACATAGTTTGAAGTCCGAGTAGAAATTACTGAAAAATATTTTTTCTCATATAATTTGGCCAAAGAACTACTCTAAGGACTGTTCTAGGAAACTGTTTTACCACATCTCTACGAATGTCTTTGTTTAAGCCACTTATGAAACAATTTAGCAAGGTCTCATCAGAAAGGCCATTAGATCTATTTGCCAATGCCATAAAATTGAGGTAATAATCAGAAACAGTACCAGATTGCTGAAGTTTAAACAACTCTGCCATCGGGCAATCAAACAGAGAGGGACCAAACTAAGATTCCAATGTTGTTGTGAGCTCGTTCCAAGTTCTGACCGCATTTAGCCGTTGTAGCATTTGGAACCAGGGAATAACCTCTTTCTCAAAGTGAATTGCGGCAATATCCACTCTATCAGCATTAGGAGTGTTGTGATAGTTGAAGAACTTCTCAGCTTTGAAAATCCACTCTAAAACTGGTGTATTACCATCAAAATGTGAAAATCCCAGATAAATGTCTTTAACATGAAACAATGATACAGGTGAAGTCACATTTGGTTGGTTATTATTTGAGCTCGAAACAGCAAAGGGCTGAGACTGATGTTGAAGTAACAAATCAATAGCTCTTTGTATTTGATCCATACGGTCCTGTGTAATAGTTTGTAATTGAGATGTCATCTCACTTTGCACCTGGTCATGATCCCTTTGTGATTGATCACGGAATTCGATTAAATTCATCAAATGCCTTAGTTCCTTGCCTTGATTAGCAACTTACGTTTGTAGATCTTTTAGACGTGTGTGCTCAGCCATCGATATCAATGAAAGCACCAAGAACAATATACGAAAATGGAAAACTCCAATGTAGAAATGGATTTGTCCTATGGAATGAAAATCTCAAACTGAAATTTCACACCTAAGCAGAATGATGAATGAATCAGAAAGAAATAGTTCAAGGATCAGAGAGGGTAGAACGAAGGAATTTGAGAAAAAAAGAATAGCTCAAAAGGAATTTTCATACCATAAGCATGCCTTCCTCATTCTTCGAAGTCCCTTAAATATACATTTCTTCTCATTATTTGATTGGTTCTCTTCACTCCCATGTTTTTCGAATTACCTGCCACATGTCCATTTTATTCTGTTAAAAAAAAAAAAGAGGTCATACTCAAATAAGGATTCTTGAGTTGTGAAAAATAAATAAATTAGATACATGTCATCAACCATTTATGAAGAGAAATATTAAAAATTTTAGTCAACATCTAAGTGGCATTAGAAAAGAGCATGATATGTCTGAGGTTTTCAAATTATGTATTTCGATTAATTAAGATACAAAGCATGAAATTTGCATATGACATGTAAAAAAGGTATTTAATTAATCTAGATCTTACACTTAAAAAAGGTATTTCGATTAAATTGTCAAATACAAAGCATGCAATTTGCATATGACATGTAATGACAAAGCTATCAAGTTAGTTTTATTTTATCCAGAGTTTAAGATATAATGACTTCATATCTTAGTTTTATATGCTATATTATTAAGAATATGCAAATGATTTTGAACCACAGTGGAAATCGTTATCACACAATTTGGTCCATGGTTCGGCAAGTTGAATTGTAATGTGATTGATTTGCATTCCTGAAAGTGTGGAATTTAGTGCTAGGATGGACACTAAAAAAAGGGAAGAAAAGGAAATTGAGCCCGGGCATAAGCAAGAGAAAACCATAAAGTAAGATAAGGAACACATTTTTTAATATATTTTAAATTATTGATTAAAACTTACTAAAAGTTATAAAAATATTTTATTGTAAATAATATTATTTACTTATTTACTTAATTCCAATATATATCACAAAGTTTTTATTTGGTTTTTTATTTTGAGATTAAATAAAAATATATATGTTAATTATAAAAATTAAATAGGAACTGAGATATTTAGATAAATTTAATAAAACTTTTTTTGATAAAGAAATTAAATAAAACTTTCTAATAGTCAAAGAAATTAAATGATAATATAAAAAATATTATTTAAGAAAAATACATTATAAAAATATCATTTTTATTAAAATAAATAATCACAATTTTGTGGGTTTTTTTATATACAAAAATTAAAATTATAAAAATATAGAATTTTATAAAAAAATATTGAAAATAAGAATTTTTTAACAGTTTTTGACAAAAATTGTGAATGAAGATTTTAGTATTTTAAATTTTTTAAAAATTATCATTAATAATTTTAAATTTTATTATTATTTAAAATTGAAAGAATTTGAACTTTTTAAAATTTTTGAATCAACGATTTTTTAATATTATATATTTTTTAGTTATTTTATTTTTGAATCTTTTCACCGTTACAAACGAGTTTAAATGTTATATTTCTGTGATTTTTTTTTAAAAGTGTCATATTTTAGTATATATTATTTTGAAATTATATATATATAAAAAAATTCAATTGTTTTTAGGAAAGTAAAATAATAAGTATATTTGTTTGAACTCACATTGGACAGGGCCTCTTACCACCAAAACAGATTTTATTCTGCTCCTCATCCAGCAGCTGTAGTGAGCTACCATGCTTCCTCTAACCTACAACTCACTCCCAAACTCATCCACTTTGCATTGCATCACATGTATGTGAAATTGCCTCAATGGCTCTCTCCTCTCTTCACTCCCACCCTCAACCCCTACCTCACCCCATAACCCACCGCCACAACACAACACCCTTCTCTTTCCTTTTCTCTATCTCCTTCTCTCCCACATTCAGATTCTCCCCACTCTCTGCTTCCGCTTCCACCACTCACAACCCCCTCCCTCCCGATTTCTCTCCCTCCCAACTCTTAGACCTCCTTCGCCGCCAAAACGACCAATCCTCTGCACTCCGCATCTTCCAATGGGCCTCCAAGCAGCCCAATTTTCAGGCCCACCCATCCATCTACGAGGAACTCCTTCACCAACTCGGCCGAGTCGGTTCCTTCGACTCAATGATCACCCTCCTCAAAGAAATGAAATCCTCGGGTTGCGCCCTCCACGAACCCACCTTCCTTATCCTCATCGAAAGCTACGCCAATTTTCACTTACACGACCAAATCAACGATGTGCTTCATCTCATGGAACACGAGTTCGGTTTGAAACCCGATACGCGTTTTTATAACGTCGTTTTGAACCTCCTCGTCAAGGGTAACAAGCTCAAGCTCGTGGAAACGCTGCATTCCAAGATGGTCAGTGACGGCGTTCCCCCTGACGTTTCCACCTTCAATGTTCTCATTAAGGCCCTTTGCAAGGCCCATCAGTTAAGGCCCGCGGTTTTGATGCTCGAAGACATACCCAACTATGGGCTCAGGCCCGATGAGAGAACGTTCACCACGCTTATGCAGGGTTACATTGAAGAGGGTGATGTGGATGGGGCGTTGAGGATTAAAGAACTGATGTTGGAGTCTGGGTGCTTGATGACGGGTGTTTCTGTGAACGTTTTGGTGAACGGGCTTTGCAAAGAGGGTCGAGTTGAGGAAGCATTGAGCTTCATTCATGATGTTTCTGAACAAGGGTTTTCCCCTAATCAAGTAACGTTCAATGCTTTGGTGAATGGATTGTGTAGAGTTGGTTATATCAAGCATGCTTTGGAAATGATGGATTTTATGCTCGAGAAAGGGTTTGATCCGGATGTGTATACTTATAATGCTTTGATCTCTGGGTTGTGTAAATTGGGTGAAGTCGACGAGGCTGTTGAAATTCTTCACCAGATGGTTTCAAGAGATTGTTCGCCCAACACTGTGACTTATAACACACTGATTAGTACCTTGTGTAAGGAGAACCATGTTGAAGCGGCCACTGAGCTTGCCCGTGTCCTTACGAGTGAGGGGATATTGCCTGATGTTTGTACATTCAATACTTTGATACAGGGTCTCTGCTTGACGAGTAACCGGGAGATTGCGATGGAGCTGTTCGAGGAGATGAAAGAGAAAGGGTGTCGACCGGATGAGTTTACGTACAGTATATTGATTGAGAGCCTTTGTTCTGAAAGGAGGCTGAAAGATGCCTTGATGCTACTGAAAGAAATGGAGTCAAGTGGGTGTGCTAGGAACGTGGTGGTGTACAATGCTTTGATTGACGGTTTGTGCAAAAACAATAGGATTGGAGAAGCAGAGGAGATCTTTGATCAGATGGAAATGTTTGGGGTGTCCAGAAGTTCAGTGACGTATAACACCCTTATTAATGGACTATGTAAAAGCAAGAGAGTGGAAGAAGCTGCTCAACTTATGGATCAGATGATAATGGAAGGATTGAAGCCTGACAAATTCACTTATACTTCAATGCTTAAGTACTTTTGCCAACATGGGGATATAGAGAAGGCAGCTGATATTGTGCAAAGTATGAATTCAAATGGGTGTGAACCGGATATCGTTACGTATGGGACCCTTATTGGGGGACTATGTAAGGCAGGTAGAGTAGAGGTTGCAAGTAAGCTCCTCAGATCTGTTCAGATGAAAGGTATGGTCTTGACTCCACAAGCTTATAACCCCGTGATTCAAGCACTTTTGAAAAGAAAGAGAACAAAAGAAGCCATGAGGCTTTTCAGAGAAATGATGGAAAAGGGTGATCCTCCTGATGCTGTAACATACAAGATTGTTTTCCGTGGTCTCTGTAATGGTGGAGGGCCAATACAAGAGGCTGTTGATTTTACAGTTGAGATGTTGGAGAAAGGAATTTTGCCAGAGTTTCCATCATTTGGTTTCTTGGCAGAAGGTCTTTGCTCATTATCCATGGAGGACACCCTCACTGAACTCATCAATATGGTGATGGAGAAAGCAAGATTCTCACAAGCTGAAACATCTATCATCAAAGGCTTTCTCAAGATCCAAAAATATAACGATGCAGTGGCCAATCTTGCCGGTATCTTGGATAGGAAAAGGTTCAGAAGATTTTGAGGGGTGAAGTTTTTGCTATTGGTGATGCTTTAGAGGTCAATGGGAAAGCACTTCAATGCGAAATGGTGCTGAAGAGTTTGTTGGGGAGTTAAAATCCCAGGACTCTAGGCTATATTACAGACCTCGAGTCAATACATTCCAGCACTAGTTGTTTTTTCTGGCTGGCCTCATTGATGAATACCATTTCTTTAGCGTTGTTATTTCCAGTTTCAAGGGAATAATGTGAACATGTAACTTGTAGCTAACATTCATATGAATATTTCTTAAAAATATAAGAAAGGAGTTCATTCACTTCTTAATTTTACATTTTTTCTGCCAGGATGGGTAGCCGGTTTATATTTGACTTAGATTAGATATGCTGGATGAGAATCAAGTTGGTCTTAAAAAGTTGGTCTTAAATTGGTACTAAGGTTAAATGCAGCAAGCATTTTAGCTTAAAGTAGAATTTACTTCTTAATGTAAGTAAACATCAAATGCTTCCCCCTATGAGCTGTCATGTGTTGGAGTTCTTTCCTCAAAATTTAATCAACTCAATTACAAATTTATTTCACGCCTGTTCTATATTTCATGCTTTTTGGAAATTTGATTCTACTGTTTGTGCATGTATACTTTTGCACTTCTGGATCTCTTAACTGGTTAAGGTTTCCAATTGAGGCTTTTCTTGGGTTCTTAGGAGGTGTTACACTTTTGGGTAAGACTAAACTTCACTCTAGGCACCAAAAGTGTCCCTACCTACTTTCGCGCAGGCTACCCCTCGCATTTCATGCCCCTCTGCCCCCTCAATTGCTGAACTTAAGCTTGCATACCACTTCACTCTTCAGTCACTGTTACGTGTGTGTTGAGGTGCATATGAGCATTCTAGGGAATACCATATACTTAACACAATTGTTGTTCATCGAAGAGTGATCCAGACTCATTGGCATGCACCCGCCCTTGGGTAGGTTAAGTTGAGTACTGACGGCTCAGTAGCTAGTCAAGACATGCAAGCACACTACAAGCATAGTCAGGGGAGGATGGATAGTTTCTTGCGGCTTTCTTTTGCAATCTTGGCACTTGCCCTACAACACGTTGAACAATATGGTATTTATCATGCTTTTACGTTAGCAATTGGCAAAGGAGCATTGTACGTGTGGTCCAGCTGCTGCGCCTAAATGATACTATATTTTTTGGATAATGGCACATCATCTAACATAAGAAACTACACCAATAACTTGGGGTGCCAATTGTCTTTATCCTGATCGTACATTGTAGACTGTAGTATACTTTCAATCACGAACGGTTACATTTTTATATTTTCAATCAACCATGTAAACTAAATTCTTTTGGGAAAAGTGCAACATTCTTCAGTCTAACGTGAAGATGCTTGGTTACTTGCATACGTCTAATACGCGCATAATTAAAGTTATAAAACATAAAGTAAGATATTGTTTAGTACTTTCACTCTTCAAGGAAACAGGAAATAAACACAAATCTTGTCCTTCGTTTTTTCAATGCATAAATGCCAATGCAATTATGATTGCATCCATAAAAACTTACCCCCTCGATCTTGTTATGGATAACTTATTTCATAATAACTTTTTTTAACAATTTATCCTTCAAGAAAGTATTTCAGTTAATTTAGTCATGAAGGATTAGTAAGATGGCAAGTGTCAATATTACATCAATAGCAGATCCCAAATTTTCGTCCAATCACACAAAAAACAGCTACAAAATGAACTAGTAGGCATAAGACTAAAATGACATTCAAACACGGATTGTATGTCACAAAACACAAGACACTGGAACAAGAGAAGCTTGTTGAAGGTGCAATAGACCTCATGTCAAAACTTGGAAAATTGAGTCCATAATTAGCCAAGTTGACCATCCCACAAACTATAGACGTTTTCATAAGAGTAACCAAGGTTAAAGGGAGCTCCCCATCACAACTCCTACTTTGCATAATCACAATCTTTTAATTGGCACGGCTTTTGAACACATCAAGACCCATCTCAGTAGGATCAGTTGCTTGCAGCTCAACTTGAATTCCATCAAGCTCCCTCTTGAATCTATCTTTGGAGCTGGCATAAATCATCTTGTTCCTAACCTTAGATGTATCAGGGGACCTACAGACAAAAGCAACCAAATTAATTACACAAAATTGGAATTTTCAAAACTAAAGTTAACGATTGCTATTCTGTATAAGATCGTAAAAGTTGGCATTACCATGCAATGAAGAAAATTCTGCTTTTCTGACAGTTCTCTTCAGTGACAAAATCAAAATCATAAACAGCATATCGACACTCATCAGCAGGAAGACTGGCAGTGAAATCTTCATAACTGTTTGCTGGCTCACCCAACTTCTCCACAACAACTGCCTTCTGCTTCTCGTCAATCTTAAAAATAATAAACCTATACGTCCTTTTTGCCTTGAGCTCCAAAAACTTTAGCTTGCAGTCATCGTTGACAGCAAAACCTGATGCAGCATTTGCCTGTAAAATTTTACACACAGCATATACATCAACAAGTAGTTGACAGTTAACACACGAAAATCTCTCCGCTAACACTTGCAATTCTACAAATAAACAGATCAACAAGCCTATGTAATTATAACATTAACAAAACATTTATCATCAGACGCAATTGAGTTCAACCAAAATCTCAATAAATCCATTTAAAGCAGAAACCCCAAGCGATTATGCACAGGAAACAAATTAAAATAAAACGCTCCAAAGATCAATCAAACCATATGATATCACAATCGCCACTGCAGGATCAAGCAAACAGAAAAACAAATCGCTACTCTACAATGCGATACCAGAATAAATACTGAAATCGACACTAAAATCAGATCCATCATCAAAAGACAAGCGAATAAACAGTAAACGAACAACGAAACTCATGATTGAATCTTCGATTCTACATCGTTCAATGTTGATGATCAGATCGAGCATAAATCCAACTCAAACTCGACAAAAAGGAAAAACAGAATCAGCAACCGCCGAAAACAGTTTAATAGAAAAAAATAGAACAAAACGAAGAAATATAGCTAACAAAATTTCAAGACTATCCGAATAACACTTCAATTCACTGTAAACTTCAGTTCTCTTCATTCTTATACGTTTTCTGCGGATTCCAAATACCAAACACAGAAAATGGAAAAAGAAAAAATAAAAGAAAACTAACCATTATTTCTCACGGAGGAAGGACAATAATGGAAAATAACAGGCACGGATGGTGAGGGCGGAGATGTAAGGTTTTGTTGTTGTGTGAGGGTTGTGCAATGCAACGAAGAAAGGAATGAAAGGGAAGAATGAAGTTAAATTGTTGAGTATCAGAAATTGAATTTATATCGTGAGAGGGTGAAGAGCGTATGTACGTGAAATTGTGAATGGACCAATCTCAACACTGCCACCTGTCGCAGTTAGTACCATTACGTGTTGAATTGAAAATTCAAATGTACCATACCAAGCTTGCTTTTTCAAATTTCATTTGGCTTGGGCTTTTCGACTTGGCTTTCAGTCGGCTTGGGGCTTTTTGCGCGTTAGACGACGTCGCTTCTTTCAAGTGTTACAATATTAGAAAGCATCATATTATATGATTTTTTTTTAAATAAAAATAAATTATTTTGAAACTTTCTTTTGTTTAACGGAGGGGGCTAATATATTCTAAACGTAAAACATATATGTTCCATCTTGAGATATAAATTGTTAGAACTAGTTTGTTAACAATAGATATAAATTGAAAAATTATATATTATACTTTTAACTGATAAGTTTATAATTTTATAGGTAACTGATTAAACTATAATTATTTAATAAAATTAATTGAAATCTATTAAATAAATAACTAACAAGAATGTATAATATTATATTAATAAAAATGCAAGCAGTGTCCGTAGATCACCGATTAAGGAATAACAAAAATATTTTGCTAAAAAACATAAAAATGCACTCACTATTATATTTTAATTCATTTTAACATTATTTTTAATAGAAAAAATTATTAGTTATTGATAATTTAACCAGTGTGAGAAGGTCCTAATTTGCAATACTCTTAATATAATATTTAAACTAAATGAAAAAAGAGATATTTAGATATTATACCCATTAACCCATGTATAATTTATTTAAAATAATAAAAATAAAACCGGGATAAAATAATTAATAGTTATAAATTAAATATTACTTCAACATATTTTTTAAAAGTTAATTTTAAAAAGAATGTTTTTTCTTATTTACGGTTATTTATTAATTATTTTTTAAAAAATAAACTACAACTGCTTACATAAATTACAAGCTCTTGTTATGAAAGGAGTTATTAGAATACTGTTAATTTTTATTAGAGGAAAAATAAACTAAAACGTTAGTGGCGTGCAGGCGAACCACGGCTCCAGCATGGATGCGATAGATGGCTCACAAGTGGGGTGGCGTAAAGGGTTAAACGGATAGGATAGGAAGAGTGGATATTTGTTGGTGGTTGACAATTCGCAATTGACATTTATGCGTGGAAAAAGCATAAATGAGGAAAGTTGGATTAACAGGGATGCTAATGCCACTTACGTGGATTTGGGTCCCTTCAGATTCTTTGCCTGCGTCAATCCAACGCGACCCTTATTTATATTCCTTCAATCACAACGCTGCCCATGCATTCATCTCTTCACTCACTGCTCACCACCACACCTAAAAGTGTTGGAGCATATATCCCTTTCCATTTTCATTCATAACTAAGGATGTTTTCCGTATTATATTATATTTATTTTCAAGACATTTATCGCTCAGTTTGATTATATTTTTCAATTTTGTACTTAATATTTTAAAAATTAATTAATTTAATAACTATATTTGAATTACTATTCGATAATTATCATCAATCTAGTTTCTACGGCTAAAAATTAAATTGATTAATACATAATAAAATCATAAATTAAATTAATTAATATACACGACATTCGGGAAAGAAAGATTAGTACTTGTCAAAGTCAGAAATCAAAGTAATGATTCCTGTTGCATTTACTAATTTTAAAAAGTAGGATTTATTCATGTTTTCAAATATTAAATTAATTAAAAAAATAAAATAATTAATCAAGAGACACGGGATCGAATCAAAATTAATTCAAAGCAAACCAATTAATAAATAATACGATATATTTTTAAAAATACGATCATATATGTCTCATAAAAATGTGTTTATATATATATAAAAGAAGAATCTTTTTATATAAGTATAAGTCTAAAAATTTTTATATTTAATTTAAATTTTTTATTTAACTTAAATTTAGTGACTAATAAAGTAATAAATTATAACCTATTATATTTAATTTAAATGAAAGTCTCAAATTAAGTGTAAAAGTTTTTAAACTTACACCAGTATAAAAAGATAATATCTCATATATATATATATGTATATTTTATTTTTTTTAAATAGCTATGTGAATTTTTAAACATTTTAATTATTATTATTTATGTATTATTCTACAGTTCAAGTTTACGTCTTTTATGCTTGCATAAAAATTATCCTTTCACTGGAAACATATAATACACACGTAATCTTGTTCATTATTGCTGATTTGTATTTTCACTGTCAACTGTTGATAATCTTTTGTAATATCTTTACACTTTTTTTTATTATCAGCAAGAAATGATCACACAATAACTTTGGGATGTCATAGGAATAGCAATGGGTAAGGTACTACAGTACCCATCTCTATACCCGCGTTTTAAAAAAAATATCCGTACCTGGCTTTATACTCGCGTGGGTATGAACATTAATCCATGTACCCGTACCCTTTGGGTACCTGCATACCCGTCTTGTACCTATTACCCGTGCTTGTTTGAGAAAAAAATATTTATAAAGAAAAATATATTTATATAACTTTACATAAGTAGCATAATAATACAAAAATTCAATATGTAGTTGCCAAATAAGGTACAAACATAGATAAAAAAACAAATATTCAAAGATCATAAACGTTAAATGTATCTTAATATAATAATTTTTTAAACTAAAATTCTTAGAAACAGTAAGCAAAACTAAACACACAAGTTATTTGTCAGTGATAATCCTATCTTGTGTGATATTTGATTGATTGGTAATGTCAGAGCGACAACGAAATAGATTTGTACAATACAATGGTTGTCCCTTCGTGTGGGATCACTTAGTAATTTCTTGTGACGGCATTGACAACTAACTCTAATGAATAAAATTTTATAGTTGTTAAGTTTTAGTGAGACAGACATTGAGAATGAGAATAGAGTTAGAGTAGAAAAGTTCAATACTAACAACAGAAAGTTGATACATAAAATATTTTTTTTAACTTTTAAATTTGAAATTGTAAGAAAAATAATAGATTTAATTAAAATAATATAATATAATTAATATATATATATATATATATATATATATATATTAATACTAGTATTTTTTAACTCATACTATACGAAAGTATTTTATCAAAAATATAAATTTTTAAAAAATTATTTTAGTGAATTAAATATTTATAATGTATATAAATTAAAAAAAATTGAATAAAAGATAAATAGTTACAATAAAATTTTATAATAAAAAAATATACGTGTATATTAAAAAAATTATACTTTTTTTATCTTAAAAAAATTAACAAATAAAAATTAACAATAATTTTTTATATTTATATCTTTTTAAAAACTTATTTGAATGTGAATAAATAGTAAGAATAATATTATTTAGATTCAATAGATTATAATTGTGCTTGTAATACATATGTTGCATAGAAAAATATTATTTTAAATTAAAATATAAAAATAAAATTTAAATATTATTAATAAATAATAAGTTTACGGTAATAGTAGGTGATTGTAAAATTTATAAAATATTTATTATTTATCATTCACTTTATGATTTAAACATCAATATGATTTTATTAACAAAAATATTTGTGTAAAAAATATTTTATGTGTGTCATATATAAATAATATTTTAAAAAAAATCAATCTCATATTAACTAGGTAATAATTAAATTGTGTTAGCCTAATTAAATGATATAAAATAGTAAATAAAATTTTCTATTAAAAATATAAACCAAAATTAATTTTTTGGTTTACTTTATTATTAAATATATTTTTATCCTAATTAAATGATATAAAATAGTAAATAATTTTTTCTATTAAAAATATAAATCAAAATAAATTTTTTGGTTTACTTTATTATTAAATATATTTTTATATTAATCTTATATAACTTCACATAAGTAATATAATAATACAAAAATTCAATGCATAATTATAGAATAAAGTTCAAGCATATGTATATATATATGCGGGTATGAGGTGAGGTGGGTACTTAGATACCCATACCCACACCCATCTCCATTAAAATTTATGAGTTTTTACCCACACTTATACTCGTACCTGTATAACGGGTAAATACCCCACCTATTGTAAGTAAATTTTGCGAGTGCCCATTAGGTACTTTATCTATTGTCATCCTTAGAACCTCACATACCCATCACATTTACTAAAAGAAGACATAATGTGTAGACTTTCATATTTTACATTAATATCAATGGTCACGAGTCAATCAAATCAACAACAAATTTTAATAGGTCAGCTTTCCCATAAACATTTGCAAAATAATTCTTACTAACACTTTTTTTATCTTTTTAATAATAGAAATAGAGGTAAACAAAACACGTTTATAGTTAAATACTAAATTAAGTCTTAAAAATTAAATTTAAACAAATCTTTTTTTTTTACAAATAAATAAGTAAATCGAGAAGATTAAATCTAGACAATCAAGTGATGACAGTAGACTGTAAATTACTTTTATGATAAATTATTACGTTAACAAGTAAAATAAAACATATAAAAACAACTATCAACATCAATGATGTCATTTTTTTTTCTTTTATAATTTAAAAAATTTGTCAAGTAATAAAGTATAACCAATAAATATATATATATATATATATATATATATATATATATATATATATATTGTAGCAATTTAACCACAAGAGTGTGAAATTATAACATACACAAAATTTGTAACACTTTATTGCTTACATATGTAATAACCTTTAGTCTATTACCACTGATAAATTCCACTTTAATTAAATTTTATCTCGACAAATTCACGTGTTAATGTGAGGAATGCATCATACAACTACCTATAAACTTGTTATGCAAAGATGTACCATCATTGTGTTTATTAGAATTGTCAGTCAAGCTTCCACCAACAGGTGATTTTTATGTGATTGCTTGGAAGCCTTAACAAATGACACAAAATCTTCCATCTCAAAACGTCAGAAATTGGAATACAAAGAATGGAAACTTCATTATATTTATTTTCATATTATTGATTTAAGAGTTTCTAAGGAACATAAAAATCATTCTGAAAAGAAAATATACGAGTAATTTTAAATTTTATAGTTTAAAAAATGCATTTCTTCAAATTTTTTTATATAATATAATATATATTTTTTACTTTCTTAAGTTTTAATTGATTTCTCAATACTCATGCAATACTAATTATTATAATGTTATCTTACTTTATTTTATCATACAAAGATGAACTAAATCAATATAATTTAAAGCATTTTTTTTTTTAAATCACTCTCTCTATACATCTTCTTACTAACCTTTAACTTTGTTAAAAATTTTATTCGTTGAAAATCCTAAATTTATTAATCAAGAAATAAATAAAAAACATGAAATCTCTATCACCATTTATAACTAAAATAATTTTAAGAGATTAATCGAATGAAATAAGATATAACATTTTGTCTAATATATCACAAATTTAATTCTCTATTCATTCAAACGAGATAAAAATAGGTTTTTTATAAGTATTATTTGAATATGATAAATTTTTTATCTTAAAATGTGATATCATTTATACTCATAAAATTAAAATACAATATTAAGAGTATGATTGTTTACATTTTTAAAAAGATTTTTTAAAATACAAACAACCATACTCTAAATATTTTTAATAATTCTGAAACTAACAAAATGCTATTTGGTGTAATTGTTTAACGAATTGAAAAATCATTCGTAAATTGAAACGCATTTTTAGAAGACCCACTCACTTCATTAAATTGGGCTCAGTTCAACATCTACTCAGCCCGATAACGGAGATTTACAGGATCCACAGTGGACTACCCGATTCAGAATAACCAAACAGAGTTTTTTCTTAGCTTGTAAGTTCATGACCCGATACACGTGTTAACTTGCACGACACTTCATGAAAAAACGGCTGAGGAGGGCTGCCGTTAGATCCCAGCAATGCCACGTCGCGAACCATAAGAGGCCCAATTCCCATGGGTCCCATCACGTTTATCCATTTGTCTTCTCGTCCCTTCCGAAGGATCGTGACGACAATTTTTATTTTCATTTCTGTTTTATTATTTTTAATTTTTTTTGAGACAGTTTCTTTTTACGAAACTCATCGCTCTCTCTCTGCTTTCCATAAAGTTAATCTCAACCGCGAACCAAGCGTTTCGCTTCAGTTCGTTGACGCCCTTTCAACTTTCGCTAATTCGCTCTCTATCCTTCGTTAGAACCAAACCCTAACACTCGCGAATCCCACTTCCCTGTCACGAATCTCGTCGAGTGCAAAGCTCAGTGCTCTTCACCAATCTCAGATCTGTTACTTGAAAACTCGATTTAAAGCGGGTGGAGCTCGTGTTTCAAATTTCTTATATTTTTAGGAATTGAAGGTTCATTGGATTTGAGTTTTTATTCGATTTTTTGTTCGTGTGTGGTTTGAGGTAGGTTTATCAGTGTTTGTTATTGTCGTTCTTCTTTTTGTGCATGCAATTTGAATGAATTAAACGGTTACGCGGTTATTGTTGATTCAAACGTCCGTCTTAGAAGTTTTTTTCTGGACGTGTAGATTGGAAATGGATAATTGACTGTCGTTGTTGATTTAATTTTATTTTTTTTTCATATTGAAGCATTTTTCCTATGTGCATAGATGCGAATTGATCCAAAACTGTGTTTCTGAATTTGGATTTTGTGTTCAGTCGTTGATTTGATTCAAATCTCGAGTGGAAATTCAAGTACGGTCTCACTTTCTTCGTGAATGCTGTGCGGTGGTCTTGCTTTTCTGGTAGTTACAGCGTTTGGATTCCCAGGGTCTCTGTTCTTTGATTTTGATGGGAGAAGAAGCGGGTTGTGTGCAAGCATTGGAAGAAGGAAGGAAGGAAAACAATGAGGAAGCAAGGACTGAGCTGAAGCGTGACTATCACCAATGCGTTGCTGATAGTGAACCTCACCTGTCTCCGAATAAGAAACAAGCAAAAGAAGTTTCGAATGATGAAGTGCGCTCTGAGGTTTCCAATCCCAATGTTTCTGCCACAGAGCAAGCACTAACTTTTCAAGATATTAGTAGCCAACCAACTGAATCTGCGAATGTTAACCATGCAGAGTGTGGGGAACTAACGTCTACTTGTTTGGAGAATTCAAGTTCTGATGAAACTTTGAGCGATGAAACTGGTAACCAGGATAACAATAATACTTCTCAGAATGATAAGGACACGAGTAGCGCTGCGATGACGTCCTGTGTAGTGCTGGAAATCCCCAAACATGCTAGTTCATCTGGGATCAGGAAGATTACTTTTAAGTTCAGTAAAAAGAAGGAGGACTATGATTACCAATCACATACTCCTTTGTTTCGTCCTGCTTTCTTTACTGAAGGAAACCGCTTTGGGTTTCATGGGGACGATGAAGAGTATTTGGCAAAGGATTATTGCAATAGTGGATTGTTAGAAAGCTCGTGTGGAATGGGACAAGTTCGTGATGGAGATTTGGACTTGTACGCTCGCAATATGGAATTGAAAATGTCGAAGAAAGTAGTCCCCAACTGCTACCCTACGAATGTCAAAAAGCTGTTATCAACTGGCATCCTGGACGGAGCTATAGTGAAGTACATTTACAACCCCAGCAAGGTAAAGCACACATTCATAATATTTTTTAATATACTTATGCTTGGTTTCTTCTTATGTTTTGAGGTTGTTGTCAGGTTGAGCTACCGGGGATTATTGATGGCGGCGGATATTTGTGTGGCTGTTCAGCGTGTAATTACTCTAGAGTATGATATGTGCTTTATTTCTCATAATGTTTGGAGATTTGCTTCTGTATTTACAGGATAGCTAATTTTATCATTTTCTCAGGTGCTTAGTGCCTATGAGTTTGAGCAACATGCTGGTGCCAAGACTAGACATCCTAATAATCATATATTCCTGGAAAATGGAAGACCAATATATAGTATTATACAGGAAATAAAAACTGCTCCACTCAGCATACTGGATGAGGTTATAAAGAATGTGGCTGGTGCATCTGTGAACGAGGAGTCCTTCCAGCTCTGGAAAGGTGATCTTTATTTCTTTCTCTGGTTTATAATGCATTGTGGAAGTCTAGTGGTTTTTGGTTCATGTTGATCAAACTTCCTGAAAAGGGGATGAGTCTTAGGCAAATGTTCTATTTTTTCTTTCTTTTGCTGCCATATCCTTTCCCACCTAAGTCATCTTTAGTCTTATGTTGTCCACTCATTTCATCTTCTGTGGAATTTATCCTTACCGTGGACTTACATAATGTTTGGTTGGAGAGAAATGGAATAGAGGGGAGGGGAAGAAATGGAGTAGAAGGGAGTGGAAGGGGCCAAAATCTTTCCCCTCAAATATTGGGACTTGGGAGGATTTGGAGGGGAGGAAAAATACTTAAAACTTTTAGGGAATGTTGAGTAACTTATCTTCAACTCAAATACTCAAATTAAATGACTTTATATGTCTAATATTAGGGTATAATAGTAAATTATTTTATTTTTCCTCCCTTTCCCCCTGTAAATTGAACCAAGTGTCTTTCTACTCCCCTATCTTCTATTAGAATCCCTTTCCAACCTTCCCCTCTATCAAAATCAGTCCTTTCCTTTCCTTTCCTTTCCTTTGAACCAAACACTTTGTTAACTTTCCAACACACTTCTATTTGAATATTAAGGAGTATCAGTTGGTCATCTGCTTCAATATTTCTTTTCTGCTACACTCTGGTCATCTATATTCTTAATAGCACACATTTTGAGATATTAAGTATAGTGGGATTTATCCAAGTATTATAAAACTTATCCTGGTCTTGGAGTTGATTTTTTGTTTTTACAATCATTTAAAGCATCTCTCTTTTATTCAGTTGGCTTTAATTTGTGTTGCAGAGAACATCCTTACCACCTGTGCCTGAATGATTCATCCTACACAGTAGATATTCCCTCCATTGTTTCAAATTATCTGTCACTTCAGAAAACTAAGAAACCATCAATTACTTTTATCCCACTATATCCTTGTCTTTTGGTATGAAAGGGTACATAGTCAAATGAACTTATATTTCCTTGAAAGTGAAAATATTTTGTAACTTTCTTAATCTTTGTTCAAAGCAAATCCTTAAATGAAATTTATTTTGAAACAGAGGGAGTACCAAAAAATGCAGATATAAAGAATTCTTTTCTGCCTCTATTTTGACAGAGTTAATTATGATGTAGTTAAAAATGTCTTGTCCTCTAGGAGAATATTATTAGCAATCACCAACTTTCCCAAAAGCTTAAGCTGTTAAGGGAAAGCTTATGAATGGTTTTCTATATAAAATCTATTATTACTAAGCATCCAGGAACTAGGAGGAGTAAAGATATAAAGTATAGAGTAACCTCTGCATGTAGCTTGCTGCAACTTGCATGGGAAGACACATTAAGCATATGGATGCAGATTTTTCATGGCAAATAGTAAGAGATGTTTATTTTGCTTTGCCTTAGGTATTCATTTTTCTAATACATATATTTTCTTTTCTCTGTGTTCTGCAGAAAGTCTTCTACAAAGCAATGGCAGGGTTCAGGCTTATAAAAATTATAGTACCAAGCTTGTTGGCTTGCCTCATACAAACATAAGGTAAAGCAGAAAGAAACCCTAAATAGAGAGAATAAAGCAGTTGTGCATTCTCTATCTCTTGCCTTTTCAGCTTGTTTAGTTCATTTGGATACTGGCAACCTTTTTAATTGAGTAATTCTATAGTGAACAGGACATTTTCTGATCCCCCTCCGCTGGCCCCACCAGAAGTAGTTCTTGCTGTCAATATGTTTTTTTCAATAGTTAAAGAAACTTGCTGTCAAATGTCAATGGTTAACCACAATAATTGGTCATTTTGTTAAATGGAACCTCTCAAGCAAAAATAACATCCCACGTTTTCTTTTCTACGATGTCTTTGTCTTACTGCACTTCACTAAAGCATCTGAATTAGTGCATTTGCTTGTACTTTGAATGAAAAGCCTTATTCATGTTGTCCTCAGGAATAAAACAATTTGTTTACTTAATTAGTCTTGTTGCTTTGTCAGCCAGTGCTTTTGCTTGTACTTAGGGAATCAGTGTTTGTTGAATTGAACTTGGTTGAATTACATAATTCCATGGGTTTTGTTAAAGTAAAACAATCACCAGGGTTTTTCTATGGTGTTATCCATGATTGCCAATAACAAGTCCATGATTGCCAATAACAATTTTGCAAATTTTTTATTTAGGAAATTTAGAAAACTCTAAATTCAATTTTACCATTAATATTTTCAAATTTGTTGTCATTATGTTGACAAAATTTGGCTGAATTTTGAAAGAAAAAAGGCTGACAAGACTTCTTATCTATTAAATTGTTGTTCCAGTCAATCTGTAGAAAGTACAAGTCACTTGTCATCTTTGCATACCCCAAGTCATTTTGAGCAGCAAATGTATGTGAACCAGATAACTGACGAATGGAGACGTGCGGTGAAGAAGTCTGTTCTCTTCCTTGGTTCAATTAGTAGTTCCTATACTTGATTGTTGAGAATGTGCTTGAGCAGTTTCCATCTTTATAAGGTTTTCTGGTCAGTTAAATTGTAGACCTTTTGTTGTATACTCATTATACTCCTTTTCTGCAGGTCATGCTCCTACGCTTCTAACTCAGGTGTGTTGCTGAAGAGAAGTGCTGATGGTTGCACTAAGAGAAGGTACTTGTTTGTTTAGTTTACGTAATTCGGGATGCCTGTTCTACATGTCTCTCTGTCCTCTCTAATTTCCCCATGTGAATTGCAATATCATAGCTGCTGTTTCAATTTGATATTTTGCTATTAGCAGGGACAACGATTTACACAGGTTACTTTTTATGCCAAATGGACTACCGGATGGTGCTGAGTTGGCTTACTATGTCAAAGGACAGGTGTCTCAATATTTTCTTTAGATATTTTGTCATTTTGTGTTTATTGGTTGATTTGCACTTGATTTTTATTTTTTTCAATATATGACCTGTCTGACGTGTGTTTCAGAAACTACTTGGAGGTTACAAACAGGGAAATGGTATAGTCTGTGGTTGTTGTGATATAGAGGTATGATCGTATAGCTATGAGCACAAATTTTTATTTTTATATCATAAATGCTAAGATAAACTTTTACTCTTTGCATTCATGTATAAACAGATAAGCCCTTCACAGTTTGAGGCTCATGCTGGAATGGCTGCTAGGCGTCAACCGTGAGTGCAACTCTTAAACAACTAAATGGTCTGATCTATTTTTCTTTGTCTTGAAATAAATTTTGTCCTTTTGCAGTTATCGACACATTTATACTTCCAATGGATTAACACTTCATGATATAGCTCTCTCTTTGGCCAATGGTCAAAACCTTACCACCGGAGACAGTGATGATATGTGTGCAGTATGCGGTGATGGAGGGGATTTGATTCTATGCAATGGATGCCCTAGGGCCTTTCATGCAGGTGGACAAATCATCTTCAACATTTTATTTGCAAATATTGTAATATTTTCATGTTTATTCCATTATATTAGTTTCTTAAGTTTTCTTTACATTACTTTTCAAAACATATATTCACCGTTACTAGGCATATTTTAGGCAAAGACTGATGTTGTCTACTGCCTACATGTTGTAATAAAGTGTTTTATTGTTTTCATTTGTTGAATACCTAATATAGCTTTCATAACATAATGGCTGTCTTGCTATCTCATTGTTTGTTACCATACCATGCCTACATTACTATAGAGGCAGCTACTGCAACTTTACAATAGGAAAATAAACTGATTATCACGGAAGGTGGCAAGATATATTAATATTATGGCATTTTCTGTTTCAATTGCAGCCTGCTTGGGTTCACAGTGTGTTCCAGATAGTAATTGGCAATGTCTAAATTGTAGAGATAATGCTGTTAATGGAAGAGAATCTTCTATTGTGAGGCCAATCATGATACGGTTGACACGGGTTGATAAAACTCCAGAGTTTGAAATGGGTGGATGTGTTGTTTGCAGGTGGGTTATATGTTGTTTATCTTAAAGCATTTATCAGAATGATCACTTTTTAACAACTTTATGAGGAAGAAGTTTCCTAAGGAAAGGAAGTGCAATTTTACTTATTTGAAGATTTTGGGTTTGTCCTTGTGGTATAAAGTGGTTCAGTAGCATACAGTGTTAGGAGGTCAAAGTGATGCATGTGTATGAAATGTAGTGTGGTAGTAGGATTAATGAAGACTAGTGGTAATAAGCCATTGAATTTGAAATTTGGTATTAATGTTTCTTTGTTTTTTATGATGATGTGCGCAGAATTGAAGGTTTTTTATTGGGTTTTTCTGCTAGAGAAAATTCATTTTGGTTTCTTATGTGACATTCTTATGCATACTTGTGTGTGTTAATTATTCTTTGTATTCTTCTATCCATTGGTTGGAGGGGGAGTTGTAGTTTATGTGTGAGGGACTTCAATCTACTGCTACTGTGATTATTTTTTCAAAAGCAAAGTGTGTACAAATACACACATGCTTGCAAATACATTTTGAATCTGTGCCACCATTAAGCATTGTTTTAGTATTATACAAATGTATTAACTGTTTTGACGTCAACAGGGAACATGATTTCAGTGTTGCTAAATTTGATGAGCGAACAGTAATAATTTGTGACCAGGTATGATTTATACATGATGAAATTTGTATTGAAATATTTCTTTCTCCAAATTGTTTAGTATATTATTGGTTGTTATCCAGTGTGAGAAGGAGTACCACGTTGGATGCTTGCGTGACATTGGGTTATGTGAGTTGCAAGTAAGCACTGAGCCTTTGGCAATTTCTTTTATGATACCTGTATTTGTTTTTAATTTTTTTATCATCATATCTTGCCACAGGAGCTGCCAAAGGATAAGTGGTTTTGCTGTGATGACTGCAATCGAATATATGTGGCTCTACAGAATTCAGTTGCTGCTGGAGCAGACATTATACCAGCTTCCTTGTCAGAATCACTAGTCAGGAAGCATGAGGAGAAGGGATTATGTACCTATGGAGCTGTGAACGACATTCAGTGGAGAATTTTAAGTGGAAAAAGTCGTTATCCTGAGCATTTACCATTGCTTTCACGAGCTGCTGCTATTTTTCGAGTGAGTATTTATTCCAAGTATGTTAATTGTGATACTTGATTTTAGGTTGATGGAACAGTTCATATTTGTGAAAGTGACAAAGTAGATATGAAAAATAGTTCCATTATAAATGTTGAATATTAATGACAAGGGACAACTGTAATTTTGGCATTCTTGATGAGAAAATTTGCCTTGTCATGTAGGATGCTATTTACATTATGTTTTCATCATATGCATTTGTCTTAGGCCATTACAATAAAAGTAACCTCACCTCAAAATATGATTCTTGAGTTTTAGTTGCATCATAAGAAAGAGGTCATGGATTTTGTATGTTTCAAATCAAATATTTTAAGAATTGATTTGTTTTATAAATGAAACTCTTTGGTAAGTTGTATAATCAGAATTGTTTTGAGTCAAATAATTTTTTAGTTCTGTTCAAATAGCAATCCACTCAAATTTGGTTGGATTTGAGTGGTATCTGAATTTAATTTAGTTCTACTTATTGAAATTGAGTATTTTGTTCTGGTTAATTCGGTTATTTAACTATTTTTATTAATAATAATAATGTCATAAAGTAAATTATGAAGATGAAATCAATTCAGTTCATTTTTATTTTGTTCCAAAGATGGAAATAGATTTGTAATCAATTAAAATCCCGAAATTATAATAAGTTTCAAACATGGGAATTGGTTTGTAAATCAAGTCAAATCATTTTCAGTTTCAATTTTTAATCAGTTTGAACACATCCTGTTTTCAGTGGCATTGAATTTGTCTGTTATTATTAATATATTCTATGATTTGTTTGATCCACTTATCATGCTTCGTGGACATGTTTTGGCAGGAGTGTTTTGATCCCATTGTTGCAGTATCTGGTCGGGATTTGATTCCTGTTATGGTCTACGGGTATGCAACTATGATTTGTTTTACTGTAGGCCACTCTGGTTGATTCTTTACCATACAGTCTTCTATATTCTTGTGCTTCCTTCTAAGTGATGATTTATTGTACTGTGAATTTTTAGGTCTAAATTACTTAGTTATAGACTACCGCCATGATCATTGAATCTGACTGACAGAATGCATATTTCCCTCCCTCTATCAGTCTCTCCACCCCTCTCCCCCCTGCATAATCATTGGTGGATGGAAAAACTATTTTCTAGGCTCTCTGAGCTTTTATTTCATCAGAACTTAAAAAACATGTTTTAGGGTGTATTAAATCTTTACGTATTTATCTTTCACAGGAAGTATGTGTTTTGAAGTTCTTTTAACATTTGACTTCATATCTTGGAATTACGTTTTAGTAGACGTGAGTCACATTATGATACATTTGTTGATGAGAGGTTGTAATGATTGTTGATCGGTGCTTGGGTTGCATGCCCCGGATTCTGTTTTGTTTTCATGATCTTTTTGTTCATTGTTATTTCTAGTAATATATTGTGTTTGAATTTTATGCAGGAGAAATATTTCTGGCCAAGAATTTGGGGGGATGTATTGCATTGTTTTAATTTTGAAGTATGTGCCTTTCTCCGCATTCCTTATTTTCCTGTTATTACTTTTATTTGGTCACATTGACATTGACATTGTATGTATCATACTTGCACAGTTCTGTTGTAGTATCTGCTGGGCTTCTTAGGATTTTTGGCCGTAAAGTTGCTGAGCTTCCACTGGTTGCTACAAGCAGAGAACATCAAGGAAAAGTGAGCAACTTATTGTATAGAGAAAGTTGATTGATATATGCATTTCAACAACACTTCTTTTTTATATCTTTCAAAGATGATTTGTAATGAGAAGTTCCATTAACTTATGAATTTTTATTTAGGGTTATTTTCAAGTGTTATTCTCTTGCATAGAGAGGTTGCTGTCTTCTCTAAATGTAGAAAAGCTGGTGCTTCCTGCTGCCGGGGATGCTGAGTCAATTTGGACCAAGAAATTAGGCTTCCGAAAAATGAGTGAAGATCAAGTAAGTTCATCCTTCTTTACTGTTTAACTAGGGAAAGTAGATATCTAGAACCGATATGCCAAGAACCCATGAACTTTGAATCAATTGAATGGATTAAAATCACAAGGACGATTTATTGCATCTGTAATACATCCCGGGTGATAAATATGCTTCATGTTGAAAGACTGCAATGAGTTAGCTGTTAATTATGTGCAGTGGCACAAGTTCTGTGAAGGAAGACCTACTTAACTAAAGTATGACTTGTTTATTTATAAAGAACAGGTGTCCTTGAGGTACTAGTTAACAAATTCGAAGTGAGAAGTTTTTATGGAAAAAGTGTCACATTTAATTTACTGATATACTCCCACCTTCGTTTCAAATGATGTTATTTATTTACCAATTCGTTAATAGGATCCTTGCTTTATTTACTGACATAACAATAAGAGCATGATTATGGTCATGGTGACTTGAGTTCAGAATGTGAAGAAACTGTTGTGGCCATTAACAAGCATTTACAATGAAGCTTTTATTTTTTTGGTACAGTTATCCAAATATCTCAGAGAGGTGCAGCTAACCCTCTTCAATAAAACTTCAATGCTGGAGAAGACAGTGCAGCTGGCTATAGATTGAGATTTATCTGGTGTTGTAACTAATTTTTGGTTATTTATTCATTTTTAGCATTTGCTCACTGTAACATTGCTTCTATGATCTTGCTGTTAGCGTTATTGTTCTTCCTTTTTTTTTTCTCCCAGAGAGTACGGGTGGTTTGTGGCTGGGTCTTAGGGTGGCGGCCAGCCATGTCTCTTTCTTTTTTGTACAATGTAGGATAAAAGAGTACGCGGTTAAATTGGGGAACGTGACCTAAAAGGATAGAAGTAGAGGAGTTGAAAGAGCGGCATGCTGACCATTTTTTTTCTTTAGCATGCATGCCCGCTACAAGTCTTTGCTGTATTTGTTTTTTTGTTTTTTCGCTAAAAAAAAAGTCGTGTATCTTCTCGGTGAATGTAAGCCCCTGAATCTTGGCTCTTTTTGGAACTTACACAGCATGATGAATAATATGTACTCGGTAAACTAGGTTGATAAAGCAGCGCACACACTAAAGGGCGCTTTTGCTTGAAGATAGTGATAGTTGGTATACTGCCCCAAGCTCGTACATTTTGGTGTCACTACGGAATAATTTTTCAAGAGTCTTAAATAGTTTTTTAATTTATTCAAAGATATTAAATAATAATTAATATTGAAGATTATAGAATTTGATGTATTGAAGTTATAATTTTAATAAAAATGATTTATTAATTATATGTCTTTATATGTTAAAAAAATTAATAATTAAGTTATTAAAAATTATGTTTTAAGTGCAATATTGCAGTAGATATGTATAAATAATACTTTTTGATATGTTTTTTTTTGTTTATTTCGTAATCGGTATCTATTTGTCATTTTTTTTAATTCATCAATCTAATTAAGGTGTTAGATTTGACATTATAATGCATAAATCAGCTGGTAAAGGTTTGTTATGTCTTAATCAAAGTTTTGGTGTTTAAGTTCTTAAAAGTGTTTGTAATTCTTGGACAGAGGTTGAACCCAAAGGAGGGTCAATAGGTTAAGAGAAACATCACATTAGTAGATTTGACATTACAACTTAACTTTGAGGTAATGGGTGTTCGAGTCTTTTTACTTCTTATTGTTTTTCCGTAATCAATTACTCTAAATGTTATAAAACATTTATTCACATTTGCTTAAATAATTTAAAATCCTTAATAAAACTAGCATAGTTAAGCGGTTAAGACTTTTACAACTTTTTATGAGCTTTGCAAAATTATCTATATACTTTTTATTCAATAATAATATTTTTTTTGTTCATATTGAAAAATAGTATCTAGATTAAGAAATAAAAACATCTCATTTATATTAAAATTACTTTTAATTCCCTAATTTGATTTTTATTTTCATTTTTCTGTTTATCATAAAAATGTAAAATATTTAAAAATATATAAAATTAAAGATATTATTAACTAATGTTTTAAGTTATGAAATTAATCAGTACTTTTTTAATAATCATTTTAACTGTATATTAAGAATTATGATAAGTGTATTATTAATATTTTTAAATAAAATTATAAAAATAACAATTATTTTATTGAATCTTAAAAAGAATATAAAAATAAGAACCAATTAAAATAATTTTATTTTAAGTGTAAAGGTTTTATATTGTCAATTAATTAAAATATACAATAATATAGGTTTTATATTAATTATTATAAAAACTAAATTTTTTAATTGATATATAACAATTTATGATTAAATAACTGTGTAATATATAAATTAAAATTTTAAAATAATAATAAATAATTCGTCACTTGTCCTTAGTGTTGGACTGTCGTCGGAAGAAAAGGCCCAGAGGTTTATGTACTCTTCTCTTGGTTGAAGGATCAGCGCAGTGAGAATTATAATAAGTTGAACTTGAAAATTAAAATTGAGGGAGATAGGTAGAAAGAAAGATCCAACTGTCTTCCTCACTGCTACTGATTGAACTCAAAAAACCCTAAAACATCACTTTGAGAGAAATGTGTTCGTGTATTCCTCAGCACCTCTTTCTTCACCTTCACTTCGCAACTTCCCCAAACCCAAGGGTCACTCTCTTTCTCGCTCGCTCTCTTTCGTTGTTCTGATCATCCATTCATGAACACATTTTTATATTAACCTCTTCTGCAGGCATTTTCTTCCTCAAGAAATTTTAGGACGCGTGCTGTTTTAACCACAGAGAATCATGCTTCCAGTTATATACCTGCTGCTCCAATTTTACTTCCCGAAGGACCTTGGAAACAGGTTATTTTCTAATCTATCGTTTTTCTTCAGTTGTTTTATTACCGTTTTTCTCTTGAAACGCGACATTGTTATGATATCACTGATATTTTTAATGTTACTTTAAGTGGAAAATATTAGACTCCGTTTATTAGTTTCTGAGCATTTGATTTCGAGCATTCAGATTCCTGGAGGAGTCACTGCTGCGGAGGGATTTAAAGCTGCAGGAATATATGGAGGTTTGCGTGCCGTAGGAGAGAAGCCCGATCTTGCACTTGTCACGTGCGATGTTGATGCCATTTCTGCTGGTTAAGAAACTTTTCATCTTGCTGATTTAGACGTGTTGATTTTTTGGTTTTGTGCGATTGAATTGAGTTTCTTTCAGGGTCGTTTACGACGAATGTGGTTGCGGCTGCGCCGGTGTTATACTGCAAAAGGACATTAGACATTTCAAACACTGTGAGACTTTTGTGCTCCTTGCTAGTGTTTTACTAAGATAGAACTGAGCTTGCTTTGATTGTGTTACATGGTGAACGCTGTGACTAACTTTATTGATGTGCATTGGGGATGTTATATTTTCCTAGTCTTCGCTGTGGTTTCCTTTATGAGCAGTCTCATTGTCTGTAGTGATTTCTCTGATTCTTTCTGTTTGTTTGAATATTTTTTGTTTCAGGAAATGGGAAGGATTCCAATAGCATAATGTTTACACTGTTACACTATTGAAAGTGAATATTTCTTGTTTGATTGCTTGCTAATAAATAAATTTGCTACTTTTCAGGCACGTGCTGTGTTGACTAATGCAGGTCAAGCAAATGCAGCTACGGTAGGCCACCAAACTTCGTCTGTTTCATGCACCTGTGTGTAATATTGAATGAATAGTCTACTGAAGTGTAGCTTCATTCTAGTTAATTTTGGGCGTTGATGAATGCTTTTCAGTGAACTTGGTTCATTCAACTCTTTTCTTTTTTAATTTTAGGTGAAATTTAAAAATATTTTAGTGGTTGAGGTTTTTCTTGTCTCCAGGGCGAAGCAGGTTACCAGGATGTGATAGAATGTGTGGAAAACCTTGCTAAGGTATGCACCATTTAATTGTGTTAGATTCATCTTGCTTATAGGGCTCCATGTCAAAATAATTTGCACCTAGTCTTTGCTACAAATGTTCATAATCACAGCTACTGAAAATGAAGCCAGAAGAAGTATTGGTTGAATCCACTGGTGTAATTGGTCAAAGAATAAAGAAGGTAAATGCTGAGACTCTGCATTGGGTTTTATATCCTGTCTGCTTGTGTCCTTTGTGATATTGCTTTCTGTAATATGGACTAGGCAGGCATTCACAAAATTCTGTACTAGCCACTTGAAAAGTATTCCAACAAACTTAAATTCTGTTGTTTTCAGTGTTATATACTTCTCATTTTATTTGCAGGGTGCACTGTTAAACTCACTTCCCATACTAGTGAATTCACTATCATCTTCAGTTGAGGGGTAATTCCTGTTTTTTGTAGTTTAATTTACTTTCAATTTTTATAATTGAAATGCAATCATGTTAAGCAACTCATATTTTTTGTGTGATTATTAAATGACCTTTGTATTTTTGTTGTTTTCTTTTTTCATTCCTTCTTTCACCATTTTGTTCTCTTATTCTTTGAAAAATATTTAGCTCCAAACATCACTTGTTATGTCTTCTTTTCAATCCTTCATTTGGTCCTTTGTTCTTCAAATCTTATTAGCTTGCATACAGGGCAGATTCCGCAGCAGTGGCAATCACCACAACAGATCTTGTTAGCAAGAGTGTGGCAATTGAGTCTATGGTATTGCTTGTTACTATTGTGCTTGCTGGTTTTATGTTACAACTAGTGAACGTTTATCTGGTTTATAAGCATACATACATATGTAGATTGTAGATAAACACACATTTGTATGGATGGATGGACTTTGTCCTCTGGATAAGATAATAAAATTGCCATGTTCAGTTCACTTGAATGAGCTGTTGATATGAATAGGGTCAGTAGCCCCAAGGTTATGTTAGTGTACGAAATGTGAACTTTTTATATTATGAATATACTTTCTTTGTATCACAACCTTCTTTTAATAAATAAGCTATTTCAAATTAAAAATTCTTTCTATAAAAACATGATGATGTCCTTAGAATAATAAATACAACTTTGTATGATATTAAGTGAAAGACATTGTTTAATATTTTGTAATACTTAAATACATGTTTATTTCTGTTGATAGACAATCATGACAACAAACACAGATAGTAAGTTGTAATTGCGATTAGCCCTTGAGAAGGACAAGTGTTTTAAACAAATTTTCTAGACTGGTATTGAAATTTTGAGGATTGTTCTCAGGCATGAGAAAAAGTTTTATGTTTTCAAACCACCAATTCTTGAACCACCTGCCTCAAATGTCACTAAGACTGACAAATTGCATTGATATATCTTTTTTTTTCTGTATCAATAATTTTATCCTTTTAATCATTATTTATTTTTTCTATTTTTTATTTTTTCAACAAACTTATTTTAGTTTTTGAGCTACTATTTACTTTAAATTTAAAAAAAGATAAAATTCATATAATAATAAATAAAATTTTGAAAATAAAACAATTTAATAATAAATAAAATTTGAAAAAATTGATCCAAATTGCATTGATATTTTGCAGTTTATTTTGGTTCGATTTTCAAATTATATTTGAACCGAATTGCATGTTATTTTTATGTGCATTTCAGATGACTTTTTTAGTAAAAAATGAACCTAGCTGAACCACAAACACTGTTAAATATAAGATATCAAGTCATCATATAGATATACATGAGGATTAATGGTGTAGTAGACTGACTCATCATGGAAACATTATGTGGATCATTGCATGTTATAAACGTTCTCAATGTATGTTATAAACGTTCTCAATGTGATAGTAGTATATGTTATCTTTTGATCTGAATTCCTTACATTTTTTACATTATGAGTTATATGTTTTAATTTTATCAAATGTCACATGAGGACTTTTGTTTTTTAATTCCTATGCGATAATAAAGTTGGAGTTTAGGCATACAATAAATCATGTGAAAGAATGTGAGTGATCAATATGAAATTTGTCTCTTTCATGTGACGGGAATAATATTTATAAAGCCTTTTGATAGAGTTTGACAACAAAATTCATGACTGTGCTCACTAAAATAAATGAGATATTTACTTGAAAATGTCTGTTCGGGTGTCAAGAAAATTAAATTAAACTCTACAATGTCACACACTTCATGTGTTGTATTCAATTAGATATCAAGACAGTGATTTATTTTTTAGTGTCGCTCACTATTCATGATATTAAATATAAATAATTTACATTTAAATATTATAAACTAAATATTAAAAGAATCTATAGGGTCACATACAAGAACAAATCTGTTAAAGGGTTGAACCACGCTTATTAGGTTTTTCATTCTATAAGAGCATATTAGATGCATAATCCTAAATGTGTGGTAGCACTCACTCTTACTAAACTACTAGCATAGCAACAATGAAAGGTTTAGCAGTTTAGTTCATATGGATACTTAGATGCAGCTGTGACTGCTGTGTTTGCCAAAAACAGGTAATCTTAAACTGAATTAGTGTGTATGTATGCATGCTTTGTAACTATTGTAATCATGTGGACACTTGAGAATCTTTGTATTCTGCTGCTATTAACGTGCTAAAATTCCTAACAGGTTATATGACTAATGGAAAAACAAACCAATGACTTGACTGTTTTGGAAATTTCTATGCAATCCTCTGTTCTTCAAGTCATAGTTGAGTGCTTCAAGTATTCAACCATTATAGCTTGTTGCTATGAATACTTAGTTACTTACTAATGCAGATAAAAAGGAAGATAGTTGAATATATTGGTACAGAAATAGTCATGATATGTATGTTAGCTTTTCCAGCTTTTCTGTAATTCTGTGGACCTGAAATTTCAATTACAGTAACCTTAACTCTTAAAGTTTTGGAAATTAACTTTACCAAATATGTTTGGTTCATCCTTGAAATCTATATGTTTGTGTTAGTATATATGGAAATATCCAAAAATTTTTATAATACCTTAGATTATCTTCTAGGATTAGGTTTTCTGATTCCTCATTATCTCTGAGGATTAGTTATCATATTTCCTGTCTTATCATGATTTGTTTCCCTAATTAGTTAGATCATAATTAGTACAAATAAGGTTTACTGCTCTAGGTTTTATGAACACATAAACACATCTAATGCATCTCAGTTAATATCTATGTTGTCTTTCATTCTTTTCCCCCATACCTAAAACCCCATAATTTCAGTAGTTTGTTAATTTTGAAGAGTGATAAAAAAGAGATCTTATCTTATTGTTGTTGGGTATTTGTTAGGTCGGAGAAACAAAGGTCAGAGTTGGGGGAATGGCAAAGGGTTCTGGTATGATCCACCCAAATATGGCTACCATGCTTGGGGTATATCTTGATGCTTCTTTCTTATTTAGAATTTATGGATTTTCCAGTCCATTCCTTGAACTATATTTACTCTAGGTAATAACAACTGATGCCCGGGTAACCAGCAATGTTTGGAGAAAGATGGTGCAGGTTGCAGTAAACCGAAGTTTCAACCAGATAACTGTATGTGATTTTCACACTTCTGGATATTGCAAACTCAGTTAGTGATACAGTGGTGCTATATTACAGTTCATATAAATTTTATTTTCAATGTTCTCCCTGAATTAAAGTGTAAAAACGTGTTGCAATAATTTCACAACTGAAATTATATTATCATATGTCCAAAGATTATTAGCCAAATATAATGTAGTTCTCTTGTGCAAGGCTGCCATATTATCTCCAAATATTATCATTGCAATCTCCATTTTTTGGATTTTAATTGATTCCTACGTTGATTTTGCATCATTTTGCTACAGGTAGATGGAGATACTAGTACTAATGATACTGTTATTGCTTTGGCTAGTGGGTTGTCTGGGCTAGGCTGCATATCTTCTGCAGACAGTGATGAGGCTATTCAACTTCAGGCATGCCTAGATGCGGTAAAGTTGACCTAGTAAAATTTCATCACTATTTTATCATTTCTTATTTTTTATTAAACCCTCACTTTAATTCCTGAAATATGTAGGGGTTGATGTATGCATGATCCCTATCCCTTTTTCTTGTAAATAATGAAGTGCCTCCCCTGCCTCATGAAAATGTGAAGTTTTGAATTGATTGTCCTTTCCAGGTAATGCAAGGTCTTGCCAAATCAATAGCTTGGGATGGAGAGGGAGCAACCTGCCTCATTGAGGTATTTTTGTGGAGAATATTTGTGCTACACTACTGTTTACTTTTGCTACTGTGTCCTTTGCATCAAATATTAATCCTCCACATTCCTTGTGCATGAATCTTGATTGAAAATATGTCATCTTGCACCCCTTTCAAAAAAACCTCTTCTATTCATATATTTGTTAATTAACCAACGAAAAGACAGGGTCATTGAGAATGAAGTGCAATGAAGCTTTAAATAAAAAAAGATGCATTAGATCTAGATTGGAAAAAGAAACAAATATGACATACACTTCAAACTAACCAATGTTATGTAACTCTGGTACTTGATAACTAAGACAATATTTGTCATTGAGAGGCTAATCTGAATAATCAAACTGAAGATCTGACAAGATTTGAGCGCTTTATTGGAGAAAGAGACAGTAAAACAACAGAAAAGGAGACAGCGGCAGCCCCGTTCAGGTAGAAGGGAGGCTAACAAGAGAAAGAGAGAGGGGCACTTTTCTTTTTACAGGCACATGTGCATATGCCTTTTTAGTAAGATTAATAAGCCATTGTTGATGTCTTTTATGGGCACTTAATTAGTTCATCCAATTCTTATCTTCTATTTCTGTGTTTCAGTAGCTTTGTAACTGAATTTTGAAGTTCTTTTAATGTTGATTAGTGAGAATGTGGATCCAATCTTGCTTAACACTGTTATTTATCATCAAATTCCATCTTCATTTTGCAGGTCAGTGTGACTGGTGCAAATAGTGAGGCTGAAGCTGCAAAAGTTGCACGTTCAGTTGCATCATCTTCACTTGTTAAGGCATGATAATTGATCTAAAGAGTTCTCTTACTTTTTTCAATCTGGATAATTCTAACTCTCTCACATAACGTTCTTCAGGCTGCAATATATGGTAGAGACCCCAATTGGGGACGCATTGCTGCTGCAGCTGGTTACTCAGGAGTTTCTTTCCATCAAAATTTACTTAGGGTGGAGTTGGGGGATATTTTACTAATGGATGGTGGTGAACCACAATTATTTGACCGGTAGGCTTTCTGCTTTTGGTTATTTTATTGCATCTGGTAAATTAGTAGAGTTTTTTTCTTCTTTCTCCGACACTTTTAAAGTTTATTTTTGACACTACAGTTATTTTTTGTTAGGAAATCCTTAACAAAAGCCTTGAGTAATCAATTACTTTTGTCTCAAAAACCAGTCAGTATATGTAGAATTTTTAATGCTGCAAAGGGTATGACTTTACCATTTTCGATTGCATAAAGGAAATTGTTTCACAGTTTAACTTAAAACATGGATCATTTAGTCAAATTATTAAAATGTCCACTTAATAAAAAGCTCAAGAATGAAAACAAAGTAAAAGTAACATTGTTTCCTCGTTAAGTTCCTATGCTTTTCTATGCAACATTAGCTTTTAGAACCTGTGTAGCAAGAGATAGTTATTACTAATGGAGTTTGACTGTTATAATAAGAGAATAATGTCATTGTCAGCTATTAATTCCTGTCTTCCAACAAGAAAATGGTCAGTTTCCTGCTTTCACTTGTCAAAATAAAAATTGGGATTTAATATTCAATTTTAATTGGTAAGATGATGCTTATGATCATGTAAATTTATTGATCTAACTATCTTTTGCATTTTCACGAGAATCTTTGTTATATGCGAACTCTTCTTTGTCCAAATAATTTAGAACCAACCTATGTTTGCATCTGCATCGCTCTTTATTATACAATCTTTTAAGCTAGCAAATTGTAAGGCCACCAAATCTAGAAAGGGAGCAATTGTTGGAGATGGGCCCAACGCCCAAGGTTTGGCAGATCTATTCAAGAAAACAGGAAAAAAGCAAGGGAATATATGATTCAGTTAGGGAATGAGAGTGATATAAGAGGTGTAACTAATTGTAGGGGGGAGTAATTTTTGAATCTTTCAGATATCGAATTGGTGTAGTAGGGGAATTCATCCCTGGAGGGGCTAAGGCTCTGGATTTACCTTGTTGACAAATTCAATAATGAACATTTTTTTTCTTGAATCTTTCTTTTTACTGAATAATTTGGCTTAGAAACCGTAACAAATATTGCAGGAGCGCAGCTAGTAGTTATCTCAGAAAGGCTGGGGAGACTCATGATACGGTTAGAATTCAAGTATCAGTTGGTAAAGTCTATAACCCAAACAACACACTGGTTTTTCTTTTCCCTGTATTTTTTAAACAGTTTGGAATTTATTAGCGGCAGCTGGGAGTGTCTTTCTGTTATCCATGCATGTTTCATATTTACTAATTGATATTCATTTTCTACTTACAGGCAATGGACCAGGACGTGGACAAGCATGGGGGTGTGATTTAAGCTATGATTATGTTAAAATAAATGCGGAGTACACAACATAACCTTATGAAAGTCCCCACACGTACATTGGCATGGTGTTTGATTGTGCACTGGTTTTTTACAGTTAATCATATAGAAGACCAGTAAAATTTAATTACTACTGAAATCAGTGCATAGATATTGATTAGTATAATAAATGCTCATGAGGCACCTGTTTGATCAGTTGTCTTTGGGATGGTCCATACTGTTTCTCTACTGTTTTGAACTTGCTCCTTCCATAGTTCCATTTGTTTAGTTTGTACAACAGCACATGATTTGATTGCGTACATGCTCTGGTCGGTACCCAGTAATTCCTAATTTGTTTGAGCTTTCAGTATTTCTGCTGCGCTTTCAAGGGCGAATGAAGAAACACAGCATACATATAACAATCATGTACATAGCAGCCTTGTACTGCTGCTAGAAGCCTCGAATTACGTTTGAAATAAAACTGTACGTCGTCCATACAACCTTGATCTTTCAACATAGCACCGAGCAGTTTTCGACTACAAAACCTTAAAACTCTATCATGTAAACTGCCAGGAAATTATTTCTTTATGCAGAGTCTTGATATATACGATCCAATCAAGGGCGTTGAAGCGCTTCTCCAATATTTCTTTATGCAGACTTTTGTAGAATCAGTGTCTCATTCTATCGCATCACTTACGCATATCTACAATATATAACCCGACAATCTTCCATTCTCAAGAAACCTATTTCTATCTGTTGAAGCCAAGAAAGGGAAATGCTCGCAGGCGTTGTTGCAGCATACCAACATAGTAAGATACATCTACAAACTTCCTTTTTTAACATATAGCTACATTTTATCAACGGAGAAAACTGTTCGTTCAAATATATAAAAGAAGAAAAAGGAAGAGGATAGAAATTTACAAACACCAGTCACTCATTTTGCGACGTGTTAAATAAAAAGAAATGGTCCGGTAGACACAGGAAACAAACTGATGGCCCTACGCTGAACACCCAAGCAATTATTCAGGTTAAACATCAACATTTCTAAATGAGGGCAAGTCAAACAGTTCATTCCGCTAAAAATTTATGCTTTTCGTCAAAAATAAAAGCGGGGATTGCTGACAATCATTCATTGGATATCAGAACGTACTCATTTTTTCTTTCATTGAACAAAATAACATGCAGAGATACTACCGTTAGTTGTAACAATAAATGAAGTAGCAATAGCAGTAGTAGGGAAGTTAACAAAACCAGTGTCTTGAAGGTGATTGATGACGGGGTGATGAATCATGTGAATAATTTTCTAGATAAAGGAAAACATTAACTTTTACGACTAATTTTAAGCAACTAAGAATAATAAAATTATATCAACAAAATTTATTATACTTTTATAATTTTAATATAATAAATAATTTCTAAAATAAAATTTTACTATTAGATGTTTAAAATCAATCACATTAACATTAAAAAACCGTAAAAATTAATGGCTAATATTTTCAGCTAAGGATGGTAAGTATCATGATCATGTGCATAATGAAAATATATAGATTACTATATTAGCTAAGTAATTAAGTTACAATATACGTAAACCCCAATATTTCTCGTTTGCAAAAAAGCAACTCGTCTTACCCAATTCAATCGGCCCAAAGCATAACCCTCCTGTTTAAAATTCAAATTACTAAACTAGAAAAAAAAATTATTACAAGGAAAAGAAAGACATATGGGCCAAAATGGGAAGTTCTGATTTATTTGCAAACAACGACATGGATAAATCAGAAGACAAAAACTAGTTCAACTAAGATTTATATTATAACCAAATAAGAACATAAATTTATACAAATAAGAAAATTAAGAAACAATTTTTAAGATTACATCGTTAATTAATGAAATAAATAAATAAATGATTTATAATACATTTTATATATAGATATTTAAAATATTTGAACTTAAATGAAATACTACGAATACTGCAACAAATAAAACAACTATAACCATAACCATCATTTCATTAACAACAAAAACGTTTTAGACACTGACACATACACGGCAATGTTACTCTTATGTGTAAGAATAGAATATTTATTTGGCAACAATTACTATCTTAAACGACGGGCGTTTACAGCTGCAAATAGTAACAGAAAGTAAAACACGTCGATTCCCCAATTCATTGATACCTTGCACCCTCAAAAGATAAAGGAAACCAAAACAGATTCAAGGCAAAAACAGAGCCGAAAACGCAAAAGCAAAAGGACGAAACGACACGAAGAACAGTTCCTAATGTTAACTAAGACTACTACGACGATCACTTGTTTCATCATGTTTCAGACGATGAGAGGAGGACCCAACGTGGAATGTTACCAAGGAAGGGACCAAATGGCGTAGAAGGAGTCCAATGGAAACCGAAGACATTATTTATGTGCGTAGAAACCCTAATTCTTAAACCAAAATCAGAAAGACTGTGTGCGATTGCTAACAAAACAGCATTCGGTTGAAGTGAGAAATCATAATGAGAACTCAAATAAATAATCTATGATTCTGCTAAATGAGAATTAATGTAGAACAATGACTTGTCTTAGATCTGGGAAATTGAGAGAAATGGGAGAAGCAAAGTGCGTTGACGAAAGGGAAACTTCTTCTGAAAATGAGAAATTGGGTTTATATTTTGTAGTTGGTGGACGGAGGAAATCCGAAAGATTCTCAATTGGTCAGAACAAATCGAAAACGTACACGTTTCAGTTTTGTTGCAGTTACGTTAAGCCCACTTCGTTCTTCACGGCCCAATGTTCAATATATATATTTTTTGTTTTGGGCCTAATTGTATTTTTTTTCGGACGATCTCTTCGTTTCAATACGGAATATATACTCATGAGCAAAACCGAAAAAAAAAGCACAATATAAACTTGTATATTATAATTCAGAAAGGCCAAAAAAGTGTTGACAAAAAAAAAAAAGGAAAAATGTAAAAAACACGATTGAAGTGTGACATCGGCTTTCTCTTCGTGCTATGGTGATAGTTTAAAATTATGAGGTGTCTTCTTTCTTCACTTTGATCATTTGATCGCGTGATTCACTTTTCTCAAAGGCAATAGTGGGTTTTTTCTTTTTGGGTTACAAGGAAAGGAAAACATATAACTAGAATGTGTTTGAGAAAATGTTAATTGTAAAAACAATTAATTTTACTTTATTGTTAATAAAATTAAAATGTACATACATATTTAATAAATTTTATCAACTAAAAGTCATAATTTTGACTGAAATTTACTAAAACCACAAAAGGTTTTCAATTTAGTCAACTTTTGTTGTGACTTTTATATTCTTAATTAATCATTACAAAACATCTGATAAAAAAATTTATAATTTATGAAAAAATTATTAAAAAGTTGTCACGTTTTAGATAATAGTTAGGCAATATCAAGTACTTTGCGTTCTCAAATCACCCAGAATACTCCCAAGTTGGGGCATCTGATGGAAGTTAATAACTAAGTCTAACACAGGCCATTGAAAATCTAAGATGAAAATGGCAAGGGCATGAAAACTAGCTCCTGACCTAACATATGTATATATATATATATCATAACAGCAACTACAATCTGCATATCTCAAGTTATAGCAGAATCAGATATCCGAAAATGAACGGTCTCCAAAATTAGACCTTTACGTAAATGATACATATGCCCGCCTTTTCATTTGCCATGAAATACGATAGTACAGGTAGAATTAAAAATAATCTGGCCTTGGATGCCTTTTAACGTTTACATTTTTATGACAATTAATTTGTCTCTCCAAACATTTCAATCTTTTATGATGTAACAAATAAGACTCTCAATCTTCAAATAACTAATAAATAATAACGTGATCAATAAATACTCTTATGATTATTTACATATCCATCCACATTAATTAAAGAATTGTAAAATAAAAATAAAAACGAAATTACATGAGTCAAAAATCTAATTGGGGCGTTATTAAAACTACCTACCGCGTTTAGTTCTAAAGTCTGAAGTTGAAGCAATAATCAATGTCATCAGGGTACAAACGATCACTGAATTGGGGCAAAAAACAACAACCGCCAAAAACAAAATGCACAATCACGCAACTATAAGATAAAGAGCATATAATTATTTATAGAAAAAGCTTCCATTAACAACTGTTAATAACATTACATCTACATTCTAATTTAAAAGATAAAAATAAAAATCCACAGAAAACCCTAGATCTCGGATACAATCAACCGGCAAATCCTGATTCAAGAGCTAGTGAATTTGGTAACGGCCTTGGTTCCTTCAGAAACGGCGTGTTTGGCCAATTCACCGGGAAGCACCAAACGCACCGCGGTTTGGATCTCCCGAGAGGTGATGGTTGGCTTCTTATTGTAGCGAGCCAAACGCGAAGCCTCCTGAGCGAGCTTCTCGAAGATGTCGTTGATGAAGCTGTTCATGATCCCCATGGCCTTGCTGGAAATACCGATGTCAGGGTGGACCTGCTTCAGCACCTTGAAGATGTAGATCTTGTATGTCTCCACGCTCTTCTTCACGCGCTTCTTCTTCTTGTCGCTTCCTCCTTCCTTCGAGATCTTCTTCTCCGCCTTAGGCTTCTTCTCGGCCGGAGCCTTCTCCGCCGCCGGCTTCTTCTCCGCTGGTTTCTTCTCAGCCTTTGCGGGAGCCATGGATTACGACGGCGACGAAGTTCTACACACTTCTTTCGGTCGGGCTTGCGTGTGCGGAAAAAGTGACGAGTGCTACGCTATGCGATGAGTGAGTGATAAGGCTTAAAGAGAACCATATATAGGGATTAGAGATGGATTCCTATTGGAAAATAGCGTGTCGCACGGATCGATGACGTGGTTGAATTATCTTCGTCGAATGAGGTTAGTTAATTTAACGGTTTAGATTACACTATGTTTTCCAAATAGGATTGCGTTTCTAGATTTTTTTATTTGGGCCCGTGATAAGGTAAAACAATTTGGGCTTTGGTCCATTATGTTCATAAACAAGGAAAAGAAAACCCCTCAAAAACTAACCAAAGAACTGTTGACCAAAAACAAAAAAATTCATGACAAAAATTTTTTTGAAAAGGACGATGTTCCTGAAAACAAAGTGGTAGACGAAAGCCTAATAATTGGTATCTACTCTGATCTCTCCTTTCACTTTTTTCTATATCTTGTCGATTTACATATTTTGAATTTGATTTTCTTTTGTTTTTGCTGCTTTTTTCCCTTTCGTCTTCGAAGGATTTTGGCTCTGCGTTCAGTTTTTTTTTTTTCGGTGCTTTTGCGAGCGATTCTGGTGAAGTTTGAGTGGATATTTCTAAATAAATGATTTGATGAGTTTTGGAAGGATGCGTGTCATAAAATTTGTGTTTTTTTATTTGATTCTTTTGGTTCTTTAACTGAATATTCAACTTCCATTGAGAACATGATGTTGAATTTATGACCAAATCAGGTTCACGTGGCTTTCGCATCCTTCAATTTGCTTCCTTATACTTATCGAGCTGGTTGTAGTTAGTTTGAATGCTTCTAGATTTTGAAAATTGAGATTTATACATTGGTTCGGAGTAGTGTTGGATTTGCAATTAATCAATTATGTATTCAGATTGAATTTCAGTGATCATTGTTCAATTTCATCCAGTTCAGAATGAAGTTTCTTGATTGGTACTTGAAGATTGGGGTTGGTTCAGCTTTGGTTGGGGCTTCTATGGAGTTGTTCATGATCAAAACGGGCTTCTGTGTGAGAGCTTTCCTTTCTTATTCTTTAATCACTCTTTCCCTGCCAATAACTTTTTCGGTTTCTCCATTTAGTGTTCTTATTGATACTGGCTTTTCAAAATTTATTATAATTTCTTATTCTCGTTTAATATGTTATGACCTTTTGAGTTGCCTAATAGGGTTATTGATTTTGGTTACTAGAATTTGTATCTTGAGATTTATATTGCCTCCAGTACTGCTAGATAGTAGATACACAATTCCATAACGTCCTGATTCTTTATTTTTGGGGAGTGTCATGGTTATCCAATAAGAATATTTGGGAAATATCATGCACTCTGAAATAATTTTTTTTCATATTATTTCTTTTGGTCAAATTGCTCAATCAACATAATATTTGCTTATGATGAGGTGTTAGTAATTGTTTTGTTAAAGTAGTTTTAAGAGTTATATTTTGGAGGGAAAGGATGACAAATTTTTCAGTTCTAATTAATGTTCTCTAGTTTGATAATTTTTAAAAAATGAAAGATTAGCATAAATTTAATGTATTAATCTTTATCTTTTATATAAATATTATATATCTCTTAATTTAAAAATAAAAAATCGCATTTGCTTCCCTTTTTCTCTAAGACTTCACTTCCAAACATACTCTTTTGGGGTTTTGATAGCTCCTGTGAATTTTGTGCATCAAGGGATTTGAAGTTGTTTCAATTTATCTTTGCATTATACAGATGACAAAGTAACTGTTTTGGAGTCAGAAAAACGTGCCTGGGAGAATTCTCCAGATGCTCAGGCAATCAAAGAAGCGCTCAACCCCTGGAGACAGATTGATGCAGAAGGAACAAAAAAGTCCTGACTAAAGCGTGAATCATTTTCTTAGTTCCCGTAGTGATTTCTTAGGATCTTCAGATTTCTAATGGGAATACGCTGGAATAAACTGATAGCATTTGGACTAGCCATTGTGTTATGACTCCTGTCATGGAACTGGTGTTGCCTATCCAACAACATAGATTGCTGCATCTTGTCGACTTGACTCCAAATGAACGGGCAACTCCGGGATTGCTCAGTCTCACACAACTTTCAATTTTGTCTTTCTGCTATCTGGCTTTGAATTTTGGATTTATTTTTTTTGGCTCTAGAAGAAGTGTTCAGTGTTTTCTCTTTGCTGATGTGATGCAACACAGAGATGAGTGTAACATTATTCTCGATGAAAAAATTGCCAATGTCTTACCTTGTTTCATTTCCTGACATTTACCTCTTCTATACAAATCTTCTGACATAGTCACTTTTCCACAATTACATTTGACTTCTACTTTAGCCATTGTTTACTTCGTCTCCTACAGGCAAAGGAGAAAAGCATTTCAAGGTTGCATCTTATAGCCATGTCAAAGAGCTTCGACATTGTTGCCAATGACTACCATTTCATCATTCACTAATTTCTTGTCGTCTTCCTGACTGTCACCATCTTTATCTATTCTTACTGAATCTCAGTTTAGCTTTAATTTTTATTACGATAGCAGTAGCAAGTAGCAAATGTTGGTCTGGTTGAGAGTGGAGATGATAGAAAGCTAGTTTAAGTAAATTTCTTAATAAACGCTTATAAAAAAAAAATAATAATCAAGGATTTACATAAGTTATAATTAAAATATGTATCTCAATTCTTTTATAAGTATTATTTATTTTAAATGCTGAGGTGTTTATGATAATTTTAATAATTTATAAAAAAATTAATTTATTTTATCGCCTTAATTTTTTTTCCTATAAATGCATTTAGAAAAACTAATTATGTTAACTTGTCTCATATTATTTATACATTTGCGGGATAAGCAATGGATTTTCTTTATCATGATTCAAGCAATTTTTCCGGGCAACAATGGCAATAAGCACAGAAATAATGGCACCGTTAATTGTTACAAAAATGCTTTGCAAGATGTAAGAACCCCTACTCTAAATATTATGAGATTAGGCGAGAATATAAAACTTTGATATTAATAAATGAAATAATCATTCACTCAAAAATAAGTACATATATGTGTAGAATACGCATGCTGTCAGCCCTGAGACCAAAATGTTCATGCGACTGGATAGGATAGAAAGCTTTTGTTTTTCGGCATAATCACAACAATAAAATAGCAGCCTTTCAATACGTCTTCACGACCAAACAAAATCCCAAGCATCGACACTACCGCCTCAAGCTCTCTACAATGTAGTCCGCATACAAGCTCCTGCATAACAAAAACAAAAATGTTATTTTCACTTAAATTTTTTACAACAATTCTTACAATAAGGAAAGAGATAAAAAGAGGAAAATGTAAGAAAAACTGAGTAGCAATGCAAAAGATACAGTAAAAAGTGTCGTAGAAATCTGAAGTGAAAATAATACCATCCTAAACTTTACATCATTCTCGCATGAGTAACAAGATAGTACGAAAAATTTAAAAGTAAAACCTAAATTTTAAAAACTATCGTATATTTTGATAAATATAAAAAACTATTTCAAACAAAGTATAGAAAATCAATTATAATTTTAAAATCAATCCAATTTCCAGATCATCCATTACTTAATGGATGAAAACGGTTTAGTGATCATGAATCAGATGACCGTTGCTTACATGGAATGCTTGATCGCTTCATAGGCAGTTGAGGCAGGAAGAAAATCGTTCACTGCAACTTCTTTGTTCTCATTCTTCTTGTCTAAATTTCTTTATGAAGGAAAACATAAAAGTAATTTGATTTATGTGTTGCACTAAAAGATACTATGTAGTTAACTGTTGTGTAGATGCTAACATATAGAAGGTATGAATAAACAGAATTTGAAATTTTTAAAAGGATACAATCTTCAAAAAAACGACGAATTTCAGCTAAACGGTGTGGAGGAAGCTCCTTGATATCATTGTAATGCCGATACTCGGGATCATCAGCACACACAGCAATTATCTTGTCATCTTTCTCACCCTGAATTTCATCAATAATCAAATGAGAATTCCTCAAAAAAAAAAAAAAAAAGAAACACAAATGCAAAGCGCTTGTTTTGTGGGAAAATGGGAACGTCTGATATACCTGATCAATCATAGGCATGAGTCCAATAGCTTTGGCCCGTAGAAAGCAACCTGGAAGAACTGGCTCCTGTACAAGTATCTGCAAGGGTTAGCATCTCACAAAAGCAGTAACAACATAAAAAGGGGAAACACCTAATACACTAATACATACTGAATTAAAAATAATGATGATCCACAAACGTAGAATACAACAATTGTTGGACTACGAAGACCATTTCGTTGGCTCTATCATTGTTTTGGAGAATGTCAGAATAATACAAGATTAGGTATTAATTGATCCTCTCCTTGAATTATTACAAAAAAATATTGTGGAATTATATGACAGTAGACGCATACTGCAATTTTATTCTGGTATTCAAATTGGGATCACCTTGGGCTGGATACATTTTGAATTATCAGGCCTACCATGTAAAGTATATAAGTACCTGCATGATAACCAAGACATCCATGGGGTCACTGTCTTCACAAATAGTGCGTGGGATAAACCCATAGTTGTGAGGATACACAACTGACGAGTAAAGTATCCGATCAACCTGCACATAGATTCGTGTTTAGCAATATCCTGTAGCAACAAATGTAACAAGAGAAGAAAAAACTAGACAACCATAATTACCTTAATAAGTCCAGTTTTTTTGTCCAGTTCATACTTCACCTTGCTTCCTTTCCCAATTTCAACCACCTGAAAGATTCAGCCATAGTTCCCAACATAAGTATTCAATCTAATTTCTCAATAAAGATCTTGTATGACATCCTTTAGAGGAAATACAAAATCATGAAAATTTAAGCTCACAACTTAACAAGCAAACTTGAGAATGTTCAAAGAGTAGCCATCAAGAGTTGATTACAAAACATTATCTGCAATTTGTTAAGGCTTAGGCCATGTCATTCTACATCATTTAAGAGGAAGAAGAAAAGAATTCCATACAAATAATCAAGGGCCTGTTTGAAATATTTTTCTATTTTCAGTTTTTAAAATTTGTTCTAAATGAGTTCTGAAATTGAATAATAATATAACTTGTCTGAATGAAATGTTTTTACAACTATTTTTTCCTTTAAATAAAAGAATAATAACATCACAAGCTCCATTGTAATTTTCGTGAACCCATAGTTGCTAAGGAAAGCCAATGGGAAGATGACCCACTTGTCTAACATAATGGTCCACGACGGGTGTTTCTTTATTGAGCTATTTTGCAAAGTTGCCAAATTGATACCTTTTGAACCTTCACTGCAAGATGTTCCCTTGCCGTCAAGACAGAGAGAAGAAGATTTCTGAAAGTCGCACACCGGAAACATAACAAAACACTTGAAAGTGAAAATTTTACTACAAATTTGCCACTGTAAAAACTGAAATCACATCTTGAAAACATCTTTTGGGTGTTTTGATTTTCTAGTTTTCAAAACTAAAAACAGTTGTCAAACAAATTTTTATTTTTTTTTTTTTTTTTAAAACTGTTTCTAAAAATAGAATTCAAACAAGCTCTACATTATCCAATATGTTCATTGTTCTAACCATCAGTCTAAGATCCACCACCAATACTTGAATTTGCTTGACATATTATATCTAATACCGATATTTGAATATTTGGATACTCATTCGATATCCTCTTTACACACATTGCAACTTTGTATAATATAACCTATATATTTTCGGAATAATCATATCATATGGCTGTATTGAACAAGTATGCGTATCATATCTGTGCATCATAGTCACCAGTAGCCCAGATTTCAGTAAAGCATCAAATGATCCTTTACCATTCATGCATTCAAAGTGCATGGCTAGTCATCAAATAAGTAATTTTATGATGCCTGGGATTGTAAGTTTCAAGTCATATGCTTACACAGTTGAAGATAATTGGAGCTTCAGGTCCTGCATTGTAGGGAAAACACAGTTAGTATGGAAAATAAAATAAAAAATAAACAAAGAAGCAGTACGTTATGATCAAACCACTAACATGTCACAAATTTTCAGTGATATTGCTTACCAATCTCAAGATCATGCCACGGGTGTGCAGCAACAGATCTTCTGGTCAAGGATGAAAGAATCCTCTCATTAAGAGGAGGGTGTCGTGAATGATGAGAGATGGTAACCTTGTTTGGGGTCTCAATAGGGGGAGCCATATCTGCAGCCAGAAATAATAAACAATAATTTTCATCAGATCCATAACTGTATTTTTACATAATTTACCAACCATGACAAATAAAAAAACAGCATACCCAAATTTGACCTTTGACCTTCCTAGGATTATCAAAAGAACAGTGTCCGAAAATTAATATTATAATTAATACAAAAACAATTATCCCGAGGGCCCAGCACCCTTTTGGACTGAATTTATATAGCTAAAAGCATTTATTGTATTATAGATATAAAAAAATAATCATATTTTTAAAAAATAAAAATTTATTATTTTTAAATGTTTAAATATCTGATATTAACAAAACCGTAGTTAATATCATTAAAAGTCAATCAATACATTTAACGCGTGAACTAAGGCAGGAATTGCGAAAGTAAAATCTATTCTAATTCCAATCTAAAATGGATTGACATCAAGATTTTTTTTTATTTTTTTCCAATCTCACCGAAAGCATAACCACAGTTCAAAAATATGAATGGTTGCGATCATAACTTATAAAATCTCGCTTATCACCGTTTCGGTGACACAAAAGATGAATGGTTGAAGAAATAAATTTACGAAGGATGTGAAATCAAGCGGCTCACTTGACATTTTCAGATTCAGAAGACATTTTACTTTACCCAGAGCCGTTTCCGTTAAAGAGAAACGACCGAACTTCAACAATTACCACCAAAACATAAAACATGAAAAATCCAAAACGACCACAGATCTGAGCCAATGAAAATTTTAATTTAAAAAATAAAAAACACTGGGGAATGTTTGTAACGTGTGCGTGGGTGCGAGTAGTAGAAACGATGAAAATGAAACTCACCGACAAGTGAATGAGAAGCTTGGATCTAGAAAAGGAATAAAGAGGGACGAGAAGTGTGAGTGAGAGAAGTGAATGGTTGTTGAATGTGCAAAGAAGAGGGAGAAAGGGCTCTTATGTAGAGGAAGAGAGAATGTGAGGTGCACGCAACGCGTTCCCGCTCTGTTTGCTGTTTCACAGAGGCCATGCTCCTTTTACCTTTTCACAATAATCAAAATTTAAAACAAAAAACTAAGTGGAAAGAATCAAACAAAAATGAAAAATACCCCAGGCATTAATACAAGCAGACGTGGCTTGTTATAAAATAAGAATCCCAAATTCAATTAATGTAACATTACGGTGGTATTCATTTTTATTGACCGGAGGCGAATTAGTCAAATCGGTCTTAAATAAATAATCTTAACCTTATTATGATTTTTTGTGTTTATTCCTCTTAAAAATATAAAGACATACGGATTACTTGACTATAAATTACTTAAAATCATAAGATGTGAAACGCATTAATAATATTTATTGAATAAATTTAATATGGATTAAGCTATGAAAATATTATTTTAATATTATAAATAATTTTTAAAATACATTTAATAACACAGGTTAAAAAATAAATAATATTTTTTATTAAAATTATTCTATTTAATATTATTAATATATTAAATCTTGTAATATACTGTGTTTTTAATAAAAATATATTATATAAATTATTTTTTCCTTTTTTAATCATGTACATCATCTAAATGAGACAATCTTATTTAATTTAGATAAGAAAAATCAAATTTTATTTATCATATCGAAAATTACAACAAGAATAAAAAAAAATATTTATAATGATTAATTTATAATTAAAATAATAATTTACTAAGACTTATATTTAAAAATATCTAGTAATTATAAATATAAACTCTAAAATCTTATTTGTGATTTCATAAAAATATATAATAAAAAGAGTTGTTATTTTATTTTATTATATTTTTTATTACTATATAAAAAATATTTATGAAAGAATTTATACGAGAATTTGGCATAATTCATCCATGCACATGTATATATGCTGCAATAGTTTAGAAGGAGAATGCGGTACTCGTTTCCTACTCAGCGTGAATAAGCATCTCTTATCCAGTTATCCGAATATTCCGTTTAAATCGCGTTTGCAGCTATGCTCAGCTGGTATGCTGAATGGATCTGCCGTGTACACGGACCCACAGTTGACGGAGACGGCATTCCAAACGGTCGTGCGGTGCAATATGAAACCCTCCACCCCATCCACGTCATTCTCCAGACAGCAACGAAGCATCGGTTACAGGTACTTTTGTACCAAAAACGAAACGGATATTCGCCGAACAGAGTAATTCAGGCGAAAAAAAATTTCCAGGGCATGTTCCTTTCTTAAACTAATATTATTTGTTTTTATATGATTTTTATTTTTTAAAAATAAAAAATTAATTGTAAAAATGATGTATCACAAGTGTACCAAAAACTTTTCAGCTTCTTTGTTTTTTTTTCTTTTATCTTATTAAAGATAACATTTATTTTGTTTTTCTTAGTTCACACGTTTTCCTACCCCTTTTAAACGGAAGATGCAATTCTCCTTGTCATCCGCAATATTAACAGTTTTTCATGAATATGTACTTATTTTAAGTGCCATAAATTTTGTAGAGATTCCATTACCGTCATGAAAGCATTCTATAAATGGCAGTTAATCGACCGAAGGGCTTGTATCATCACAAATGGAAAAGCAACTGTAGTTCTGCTTTAGTTTTTAAATAATACTTTTATTTGTTATAAATATAACTAATTATAGTGAAATTATTTTAAAACAGCTTATAATATTAATTTTAAATTTTAGTGAATCTAACTATATTAAATATTTTAAAAAGTTATTCTTTGTAGAAATTTTATTTAATTTAAACAAGATTTAAGTTAAATAAAAAATTTAAATATAAAATTTTTTATACTTACACTAGTATAAGAATATCATTCTCTTATTTTATTTAAAAATAATATATTTATTAAAATAAATTAAATATATTTTTTAAAAATATTTCTCATCCTTATTTTTTATTGATTTTTATGAAGAAAAAATAATAATTCTATTATGATAATATTTCACTCGACTTATTTTAAATTTTTTTTATTTTTAAAAAGATAATTTGTGTTAAATATAATTTTATAAAAAATTTAAAAAAATAAGCTTTTAGCCAATGAAATTCTTTTTATATATAAGTTAATTTAAATATCTTTCTTTTTATTTTACTTCTCTTTTTATTCAAATCATAATTTTTTAAAAATTATAAATATCCTCTACACGATATAATTGCATTTAAACTAACTATAATTAATATAAATAACGAAAATCCCCCTTTAAACATTTCTTACTACAGTATTAATAATAAAAACTGAATTGAGATTACATATTAAATTAAAATAACTCTTTTTATATAATTTTTATGAATACAATACTGAATAAATTTTAACTTAAAATAATCTTTATTCTAAACAACTGTAAAATTATTAAACAACTTTAACTTTTAGTTAGTTATTTTTTTTTTCTAACGTTAACTTTAAATTAGTTTTTAAGAATAAAAAAATAAAGCTAAATGCTATTTGTGACCTTCTCTCTCTTTAATAAAAATTATTTCATAAAAAAACTCAAAAGTCAAAATATAGATTTTAAATAATATTATAATAACTTTAATAAGTTGTTTTATTAATTTTAAAAACCCCATTCTAAATTTCGTTTAAGGTGACCTTTTTGCCAACATACATTACCTACTGGTTGTAGCGGGGTAGACTTAATTACTATTATTCTTCAACTTTTACTTTCATTTACATATTTTCCCCCTCATCCTATTCATTTTCTTTCTAATTAAAGTTTTGGTTGATTTCATGAATTTTATTTATTGTTTTCCAAAATAATTTTTAAAGTAATCTTCAAAAACATTTTTTAACGATAAAGGAAAATTTGTTTAATTTTCATTTTGAAAATAATTGTAAGAAAAAACAGTGTTTGATGATGGAAAGTCTTTTATAACTTTTGAGAACCCACACTAAGAACGATGTTTAATAATCTTTCATTCAAAACTCAAATTAAAATACTATATTTCATCTAAAATTTTTAATAAAATTACCCACTTCAAAACCTAAATTTTCCATCTCATAGAATTTTTTAAATCTTGTCAATTTTTTTCTACTTTTAGTCCTTCAAATAATTTTATTTTCTCAATTTTGACTTAAGCCTGTAATTATTTGAGTACAATATAATAAGTTGAGAAGTTATGTAAAGAAGAAACGATAAAAAGGACTCGATTATGGTGATTAAAAAATTTAGAATTAGATTAAAAAAATTATTGAAAGACTAAGTTTATGCATTAATTAAAATAAAAGAAACATAATTACAATTAAATTCATTAATTAAGAGTGTGACTTCAACTTGGTTCCTTCTTTAAGGGGAGTTAGAAAATCGCTTTACCTATGTATTTATGTGCTTTCTAGCGACTTATAATCCACCTATGCATATTCAAACTAAAAATTATTATTATCATTTCACTTGTCTCATATATATGTTTGTTGGTAGACAGTAACTTTATATTTTGATGTTTTATTACCTTCTTACAAATGAAAAATAAAATTTTATTTTTTAAAAATAAAAATTGAATAGAAAAGGAGGTAGCAAGAAAATGAATAAAGAAAGAAAATAGTAAGATATAACGTTCTTGACTTAATTTATCATGTCAGAATTATGTTATTATATATTTACACATCAATTTATTTAATAAACATGAAACACATAAAAAAAATTAAAAACAAATTTTTTTTTTTTCATATTTAATATTATAGATTAATATCTGTTGACAACAATTGGCCACCTTTTCATTTCAAAATTTAGACATACAGTCCCGCATGTTATTTAATAATAATAAAAATTTAATAAATGTGACATTCCTTGGCACCGTCCGCAGAGGATGCGATCTGCACTGTCTGTGTGGTGGAATCGAAAAAGTGACGTAGAAGCAATGAAAACCTAACAGCAAGGGGCTATTTAGTTACATAAAACTTGAATATTTACTCGTCTCTTTTACTGTTTGGATATTAAAAAAAATTAAAAGAACATTTTGAAAAATGAAGAAATGTTAAATAAAATTATGTATAATTTGAATGGATTACAGTATAAACAAAATAGCTTTTATTATTTTTACTTGCTAAAAAACTTGTGGTTTCTTCTAAGTTAAAAAAAAAAAAAAAAAAACTTTGCCAAATGTCAATTTTACCATAAAGAGAGAAGAGTAAAAGTTTATGAGAGCAAAAGAGATCATCGTGGTTCCTTCTCTCATCGATATACTTGTAATTATTCCAATGAAGTGGAGAAATTTTTTAGATTACTTAACACTTTTAAGTTCTCATACAAATCACTCTTGGGTATTTCTGTCTGGATTGGATCAGTCCATCCAAATTCCAAAATCAGTATTAATATTAATAGCAATTATATTTGCATTTTTCTTGTTTTAGAAAAGTATACTTATTTTAATTATTTTTATTATGTTTAAAGACACTATTTCTTTTGTATCCATATGCATTAGTAAATAATTGATAGCTTTAATTATAATAAGCATTAACCTTAAAAATAATACACAAGACAAAGAAATACATGTAATTTTATAAAATAATTATAATAAACACTTACTCTAAGAAAGGTCAACATTACTAATTAGCTCTTATTTAAAAAAAAAAGGAAGCATTTAGTTTAGTTAAAATGGATGCTTTAATTAGATGTATAATCTTACAAATAAAAAGGTTTATTTAATCCACGTGACCCCACAACTTGAATTTTAAAGTGACATTTAAATATTTATAAGTAATATAATATAATAATTTTATAAAAAATACAAACTTTTGTCAAACAAAAACTACCATGTTTAATTATATGATTCAATAATTTTATCTAATAAAAATATTATTTTTAAAATATAATTATATTTTATATTAGTTAACAGGAATCCAAATATTTTAAAATGCAATATCTCTAAAAAAATATCCTTGGGAAAGTTGATAATTACATAAAAGCAAGTATGCATAGCATTAATTTACAATGGAGGCTGGCAACTCACTGTCGCATCCTACGATCCTACAACTAGATCCATATCAATTTTGATTCAGCAAAGCATTAATAAATTATTAGCAAATTGCAATTTGAATAGAGACG